CCATTGCCCGCCCTTTTCACAGGCACTGATGACCGCACTATAGGTGATGACATTGGGCTGCACTGTTGCCTCAGGTAAAGCCTCAAACAACTTCAATGCTTGCCGCCATTGCCGACCTTTCTCGCAGGCACTGATGGCCGCATTGTAACTGATTACCGATGGCTTAACTTTTGCCTTGTGCATCACCCCAAGCAAGTTCAATCCTTGCTGCCATCGCCTGCCCTTCTCGCAGGCACTGATTGCTGCATTGTAGCTGATGACCGATGGCTGAACTTTTTTGTTGGGCATGGCCTGAAACCACTGCAATGCTTGCTGCCACTTGTTTGCCCTCGCACAAGTTGATATGATGATAGTGTAGCTGGATGTACTGAGTCGTATGTCAGCATTTTTCCAGATTGCCTCCAAGGAAGCATTAATCAGTGTTGCTTCCTTTTGCTCGGACAATCTCCACAACACCAGCTCAAGTATCTTGCTAGATCGCCTTACTTCTGGGAGCAAAATTGTTTCAAGAGAGTCCTCGAGATTTCCTTGGTTTTGTCTCGGGGTAAGATCCAAACAGAGCTGTGCTGTGAGCAGTGCAGTCAGCAGTGCTGTCACATCAAGTCAGCTGAGCAGATCTACAAACATATACAAACATGTTCACAATAACCTCCAACTGAAGACCTTATCTAAAAGCACCATCAAATACCATCAGTATCGTCGGCCCGAATTTATGTTAACATGGTGCATTGTCAAAATTGTGGTGTTCTAAGTTTGCAGTACATTCACAACAGATTTTCAGAACTCCGTCGATAAATTTGGGACAAACACATATCATGCAACCGGGATGTAAAAAAAATGTAAAATAATATAATAAAGAAACAAAACACATAAAAACAAAAACTCTGTCAATGCCGCGGTCTCTTTCAGCTGCCGCGCGGCACAGCTCCTGAACCAACTTATCCGCTCTTTCAGAATAGACCTTCCGGCCGTTGAACCTGCGGAATCGTCGACACATGCCAAATCTTTATCTGCCAGTTCAGTTTCTCCGAAGACATTGCGTTTAAGTTTTCCTTGTTCAGGGTCGCCACTCCTCAAAAGATTACAGATTGGCCACAGACTTCACGGCAGCTAGTTGAGACTTTTTGTAGCTCCTGGAGCCTCAAGTGGAGCTCCTTCAATTGGAACTCTACACCACTGAGTTCGAAACTCCTTGCACGTCCCCGCAAAGAGCACCGTTTCAAGTCAAGAAGGCACGGAGGCTCCACCAGGATCTCCCAAAAACAAGTAGAAAGTCGCCTCCATCGGGCCCCACCCACCAAGTGCAAACCTCTTCACACCTGGTCCCACTGGTTCATTCGAGTGGGGGATTTCCCCAGTCCCCCCGTTTTTCAGGTGAAAGGAGGTGAAAGGATGTTCACTCTTCCTCCCCGTGAAGCGCTGGAAGAACCCCTAGGCGCCAGGCAGCTCTGGGCCAAGCGGCCGTTCCGACCCCCTCGCGCAGATCCGTGAAGGAAGATGTGGCGCAGCGCTGTGCGAGCCGCCCTGCGGAGCCCTAGAGTGACCAGCATGCATGGCATACCACTTCCTTTCTTCCCGCTTTGAGGGAGAACACCTTAAGCCGCAAACAGTCCTTCGCACATACAGTATATTCTGTATATACAGTAGAAATATGAATATAGCGCCTGAGCTTTGGAGCCTTCACCGTTTGCCCTCATTCCGGTCGCAGCTGACCGAAATCAGTCGCAGCTGACGGTTACCCACATCAACCTTCTCACCCGCATTAAATCGAAGCTTCCAGGAATGGATGCATCAGCCTTTCACAGCAAAACAACAATCATCCCAGACTGGAGCATCTGGGATTAATCCAGTCCCTTTCTCCCCAGATGCTCCATGGGACTGCAGTGAATGATGGGGCCTCAGACTGAGGTGAATGATGTGCATGTAGGTCATAGGTCTATGACCTCCCATTTGGTCGCGTTCGGCAATATCATTATATATTGGGTCCTTAAACAATCTTAAGTATGCAACTTGCTGTTGAAGCAACCGTTGACCAAACATGTTTCTCCAAGTGGGTTGGTGTCGCTTTGCGTGGAATGGCTTAAGAATCGACACTCCCCAACAAACTGACGTGGACGCAAACCAATCGGACCTGCAAAAAACCGTGACACATCATGGCCAATGGCTATAGCTGGATCTGTGTTGTGTTGGTCACTTTTCACATCACAAGGGCTCCTCCTCAAAACAACACGAGCCATTGACTATCGCTATTTCAGAGCTCATCGATCCCAACAAAAACATACCAAATGGCGGCCTTCTCCGCTCCCGAACTTGCGAACGCCGCCCGACCGGTCGGCATCATCCGGGGGGGCTCGTCTAAGGACAAGGACTCCCAATCGGTGACCAAAGACCTGGTGGCGTGTTTGGTGCGAACGCCACGGCTCCGACAGGGCGGGGACCCCGTCGTCCTGATTTTTCGGAGGGGGAAGGTCTACGTGGAGGACATCACGAGGCGGAGGGTGACGTGAGCAGCTAGGATCAAACTCATTCTTCTCCGCTTCTTGGTGTATCTGGTAGGCTACCAAGAATGGGAGAGTACCAATAAATAACGTGATCTTCAGTTGCCAGCCCTGTTCTCTCTCTAAGAAGAGATCTAAGGCACGATCATCTTCCGCCGCTGTGTTTTGGGGCCAGGTTATGTCTATAAACCCGCCACAAGAAGCCTAACACATCCTACCACCCTCGAACAGGTCCAATTCGTGGCCAATTTGAGGTCCTCAAACACTTTGGAGACTGCAACAAAGCAGGAGGCTGGTTGAGAAGGGCCAAGGCTGCCACTCAGAGTGACGCACCAGTAATTACCGTGCAACACTGTAAAAACAAACAGTTACGGACCCCACAGCTCCCTCCAAAAAAGGTTCCAAACGCACAGTCCAACTCGGCCAAGCCCTCAAAGCGCAAATCTCATGAGAAGAAATTGCCCCCCATCCAGACTTCAGCAGCTCCTTCGCCGACTTGCCACCCTTTGGTTTAGGCAAAGAACATAAAATAACCATGTCTTCCACATCGTTCACATGTCTTCGAACAAGATTGAGTTGTTCATCTCCATCAAAAAAAGCTGTTGCACCCAGAACCAGTGCTTCAAAGGATGATTGAACACCCTCAACTCTCCAACAAGCAGCAACAAAACAAGCTCATGTTGATTGATGTCTTTGGCAACGTCTGGTTTCTGGACAAGAATTCGTTTGGAATGAATCCAATCTATCTCTAGTCCAAACACTAAACTGGACATCGCCCGTTGCGAGATCCAACAGTTTGTTCATGCTGAAGTCTTGCGCGTTTCTCCACCCGATTCTTCGGTTGCCCTCACCACCGTTCTTCATATGAAACATGCCACCACCTCTCTTCCGGCAAGGCACACACCCCTCAGCCAAACGCCATACTCAGCCCCCCTGCGTCGGCTCCGCGTTTCGGGCACGTCTCGAGGGAGTGGGAATCCAGCGTTGGATCGTCGTGCGAGGAATGTCCAACATTGGAAAAAATATGTGTTTTTATCTTTCTGAAAAAGGATCCTGTCCTATGTCCGACATGACCTGTGGTCTCAGATCACAAACAGCTTGGTCGAAATCATCTGGTGCTACTGCCTTCTGACACTGACTCTGAAACGTCTTGTTGGATCCAATAGCCACTCCAGGCCTGCAAGTATGGAATATATACGCATTGGAGTGCTTTCAGGGATCAATGTCATGGAGTATACCTTCTATGACGTCGTCTGCGGTTCAACCATCACAAGTCTTTTTAGCTGTTAACACATCATTCCTCGTATTTCCTCACATGGTACTTACTGCCACAGACTGCAAATCATCCTCTTCACCAGAAGAGCCCATCATCCTCATCCCAACATCCCACCAACCCGCATCGTTTTCGCCCCGAGGACGTCCACGCCCGTCCACAGCCGCACGGCGCGGGGAGCCGGGCGCGGACCTGGGGTCCTCGATGTTCTCCAGGTCCAGTGCTTCTGAAAGAGCCGCGGTCCTCGATGCGGACGGAACGTGATCGATCGATGCGGCGTCGACGCAGACGGTTTTACGTGTTCGAAAACCCGGTCCTGCTCGAATAAGATAAGGAAAAACACAAAAATGGAAGTACCGGTCGAAGCGATGGCCTCACTAGCGATGGCCATAAAATTATAAAAAACTTTCATATGGTAAGGCCAGAATCCGTGATTTAAAAAAAAATCAAAAAAAGTCAACTGGAAAAGTCAAAGTCAAAAAAAAGTTAAATTGAAAAGTCAAAAAAGTAAAAAACATCGAAAAAAAGTCAACCATAGACCACAGCTCGAAAAAGTCAAAAAAGAAAAGTCAAAAAAAAAGTCCAAAAAAAAAAGTCAAAACTGTGGCTCCTCGCCTTGGCGGATTACTGGAGTCAAGAAAAGTCAAACAAAAAGTCAAAAAAAGTCAACCGTAGACCACAGCTCGAAAAAGTCAAAAAAAGTCGAAACAAGTAAAAAAAAGTCAAAAAATGTGAAAAAAGTAAAAACAATCAAATTGAACAGTCAAAAAAAAAGTCAAAAAAAGTCAAAAAAGTGGAAAAGATATGAAAAGATGTCAAAAAGGGTCGGATCTGGGCAAATTGACTTTTTTTTGACTTTCAATTTGACTTTTCTTTGGCTTTGACTTTTGGGATTGACCTCTTGTTTTGACTTTTTTTTTTAAATTAGAAAGCAGGCTCTTTCCAATGAACGTTCTAAAACCATAAAACCCAACTAGCGATGGCCTCCAAACTGTTCAAACATGTACACTGATCATCACTGATCGAAGGAATCCTGGATGAAGATGGACACCGATCGACACCGATCGACACCGATCAGGACATCGGAGTGTTTTCCTCGTTCATCCCACGCGGCCATGAAAACGAAAGTCACCATGAGTTTATCGTCATATGAGTGTAAGCACCTACCAGCATCACCCAAGGAGTATTCTTTCTCGACCCCCATGAGGTTTTCCATCCGATCATCCATTGGATGGTGCCAGGACCCTACCGCCTCCTTTGATGTGTGTGTGTTAAGGCTTGCCTGTGTTTAGACCAGCCGCAAGTCCAGGTATACAACTTCTGGGGGGCGGGCGCGAGAAAAACAGAGCCAGTTGTGTTGATGTTCACCTCAAAGGTGTGAGACCCCCCCGGTTCCTGACTTCAACTGCTTGTCATGTGAGACTCTCCATCGAACTCGTAGACCGTCCACGTGGCGCACGGCTAGTCCGGCGAGTCCACGCCGTCCACAGGACACTTCAACTCGCCAGATGAGCCATTTTGTAGAGTTAATATGACATTCCCTAGCGCTCCAAGTGCCTCAGAAGGTATCTGGACCCTCTGAACCCACTCCAGTCCCTTCTGAGGTTCGGTACGATTGGAGCCCAAACGGGATTAGGGATTACGACCTACGCATCGTTTTCTCGTCACATGGCCAACATAATACCCATAACATGTCAGAACCCTTTGCTGACATGCTGTTTCTTTCTTTGGTTGTCTGAGGTCTGGTCTTGTTATTGTCTTATCAACTGAGCATGGTCCAAGTCATCCACCCCTAAGATGGGCTGTCAATTCCCCCAATTTGTGCTATTCTTCACCCATTGAAACCCTCCAAAAGCCCCAAAACCTCCAAATCATCCAAGAAGCAACCAACTGTTACGTGCCAGTGAGTACCAACATGTACCAACCCAACGACCCGGTTCGGGCAGTGCCTCCCTGCCGAACCCCCCCGCAGAACGACCCCCCAGACCGGTGACTGAATGGTCTCGGTCTGATTCTCGAGTCCACCCCCCTCGGTGGGCGCCAGTAAAATCACCGAGCCTTGGCCAAGGCAGGGCGCCCGTCTGTCTCAGTGTAGACTGGTCGAACGGAAGAGGAGACTGAGACGAGCGAAACCAGGAGTCACATGGAATTGGGGTGGTGTTTCTACTTCCTAAGTCCTAAGTGAGTGGCCTCCCAAGTTCGGCACCCGTGACTCCGACTCGACTCGACTCTTGTTGATGGAAAGCAGTGGCCTCAAATCCAAGATAGCCCCTTCCAAGTGACCGAATTTGGAGTCCCTGTGACTGTGACCTTCTTTCCCAGGTCTGAGACTGTGACCAAAAACAAATGGCCAACATGGAGCGTAAGAGGTGAGGAAAAGATGCTCTCGGAAGAAGGGGTGAAGGTGACAAGGTGCAAATCCATGGCAAATCTAGTACGATCCGAGTTATGACCAGGACTCGACTTAGGCCTACGATTCATTCATCATTTGAATCAGATTGAACCAGTGAACCAAATGATGACATACGATGACTACCTATACTCCAACCCTCCGTGTCTGAATTATGCCTCATCCCTCATCGACCCCAGAAAGCACCCCAATAGAGGTGTACCTGCAATGCTGCAACGATGATAATTAGAATATCTGAGACCGGAAGAAAAACAGATCATTTTCCCCCGCCCTCCTCATCTCCGGTGCATCGTTTACCACGCGCTGAGGTGAAAAAGCGAAGAAGAATGGTGGTCTTCCCAAGTGCTCGCCTCCCGAACGAGTGAGGTTTTTCCTCGGAGAGACGACGTGCAGCGAGTCTCGAAACGGTCCAACTCCTCCAAGTGACGTTTGTCCACACTCCATACGAAGCCCTGCCAGACGCATCGGAATTCGGGAGTTGAACACGAACACCCTGTTTTTGAGCCGGGAGAGTTCTCCAGAAAGGCAAAACCGCCGATTTCGCTGACGGCGTTTTCTCTGGATGCATCCAAATGGAGACACCGTCCTTCCAGACTGAAACAAAAACTGATTCTTCACTTTTGGTGGAATGGAACATCCTAGTGGCAGGTGTCTTCTTTTTCTGGTAGTGACTCACTTTCTTTTCCCAGAACTTGCTGAACTCTGGCCATGATAAACACAAACCGCTACAGAAAGCAACAACTGGCAGAGCACCGGTGTGACGGTATCATCTTTGGTCTTCCCAAACTTTTTTGTCCAATAGTCAGCACCAATTTCCACTAGTGCACCTAGCAATCTACTAATATAGATACATTAATCATTGATGCTGGCGCGGAAGGCATTAAATTTGTTTCCACATTCTGGCCAAATGTTTTCGACAAAGTATCCTAGGAGGTCCTCTTGCTTCTGCAGCAATTTCTCGCTTCATACCTGCTAAAAGGATCAAACTTGAGACAAATTCACGCCTCAAAGGGCTCCCAACGAGCCTGAACTCGTTTCGAATTGACTCTCAAACGATCCTCCCTGAACCGGCCTAATCTGACTCTCCAGTTTTCACCAGAAGGGTGCAGCTCATGGTTAATCCCTTTCTTCGATTAAAAGTCTGCAAGCATTCATCCCCCTCGAACCTCATTCCAGACCTCCAGGCTACGCAGAAAAGGGAGACCAGTGGACCGTTCGGAGGCCCACGATCGGACCCAAAACGCTAGCGGACCGCACGCGGACCGGCCGAGCTCCACGGCACCTGGTTACCTCCGCAGAAGGTGTCCTCCACTTTCACCAAGGTGTCCACGAAGGGGCTCACCTCGCCACCGGCCACGAGGTGAGGTGCCGAGGACGAGGCTGGCGCCGCGCCGCCCTTCGATCGACGCGTTGTTCTTGTTCGGCACCCATCTGCCTAGACTTGTTCAATTTCCACATCAACTTCCGGGTGCTTCTATATATGGACGTTGGCTTGAGTGCATGCTTCACATAGGGCTTGGGGCCAATGGGGTTGCAAATTCAAAGGTGCATGTGCTGAAATTCCTTTGTGTGTTAGTTAAAGTAATTGATGCCTAGTGAACCATGAGAACTGAACGTCCTTCCGATCAGCGCTGGTTCTTCCCGCTGAGTTGGGGTCGTACAGAATCTATTGAATTCTGGCAAGTCACCCCATTCTGCCCCCCCAAAATGCACTGTCCGACCTTTTCTCCACCAGTGAAGCTGTTTTTTGCGCGGAGTTGTTGGTCCAGTGTCTCCAAGCAGCCATGGTCACGTAGATGAGCATGGTGAGCCCAGGAATCCTAAGAGATGCCAAATTGGGCAATTCATTCAGCACAGGGTTCACTCTTTAGGGCCTTTAGGGTGGCTTACGGCAAAATGTGGATGCGGAAAATATCATTTCGACGTGAATGATAGAACACGTTGCACAGTTCTATGCTAGGTGCAGTTCTATGGAATTATGGAACCAGCATGGTTTTGTCTTTGGAAGCAAAGACCATTCAACTGTCTGGCAATTGTTCCTGTGCTGGCTTCTGAAACGTGTCAGTTGTGCGAAGTGTTGATTATTCAGAATAGCCTAAATATCCCATTTGCTTAGCTTGATGGAAGAACTCAGCTGCAACAACTGGAGCACTATGATATCCTCTATCATATGTACGTATAGCTATGTACGCAGTTTCTTCACTGTTTTTGGTTCCCAGCAAACTTAATCCTGTGATTCCTGGGGGTAAATGCGGATTAAAGTGCACCAAGGGGTCTCAACCAACCTCCGGGAATTCAACTTAGACACAGGAAACCCCTTCTCAAAACAAATCAAACCCTTGAGATCTACTGGTTAACCTGCTTTGGCACAGCTGCCCTGCTCGTTTCACCCAGCAGCAAAAAGGTCATGGTGGTGGACTTCGCATCCGCGCCGCGGAAGCGTGGAAATGAAGGCCTCAGGACCGCTTGGGCGACCAGGTGATTCATTCTTCCAGAATACTGGGTGTAGAAAAACCAGTTTTGCTCTCCGATTGAAAACCGCAGGGTGAACACTTGTCCATACATGTGCCGAACACTTTGGTACAAGGAAACATTGGAGTGTCCGATGCTTGTAGCACCTTTTCGGCCTTTCCGGGTGTAGCACCGAGAATTTAGGTGGAACAACTTGAGCCGCAGTGAGGACAAATGATGAGGACTTGATGTGCTCGACATGGTTTTCGGCCGCCGAAATGGATGCACCATGGACCGCAACCAACCTTTTTCAGAAGTTTAAACTCACGGTCGGTGTGTGTGTGTGTGTGTGTGTGTGAGAACTACACATGCCCTAGGGCTCCAACCACATCCTGAGAAGGTGGTTAGACACCCCAAACAAAGCCTAACCACCTTCTCAAGAGGTAGTTGGACCCCTAGGGATGGTAGAGTTGCACATGACTGGATTGTTTACTAAAACCATGTAGCTTGCAAGTACATCCTCGATGCTTCTCTGGAGTCTTCCGGGCAGCAAGTGTCCAAGAGTCAATCTCTAGTGAAAAGCTGACGCAAGGTTTTCCTCTTTTCTCTCGCAGCAGTGAGGCCACCTCAAAGTGACCTTCCTGAGCTGCCAAATGCAAAGCTGTTGCGTGTCACCTCGCCTCCTGCATCAGCATAAGCCTCCAGCAATTTCACAACCTCCACGTGGCCACAGCAGCTGCCTTGCGTGCAAGCAGCAGTTTCACCACGTGGCCACTGCATCCTTCACTCAGAAGCGACTCTTGGGTTATAACCGGCCATCACTTAGAAGGTGGGGCCTCCCATTGCAGGTCTAAGGATGGAGGCCAGGCGCACGTTGAGACCGGACCCACCGGACCGCCACCGGACCGTCCGGGCTGATCGATGGGGAGAGTTAAGCCCGATCCACCGCCTTTCGATCAGTGCGCCCTTGCTTCAACATGCTTCAACTGCCGCAACAACAACACCAACAGCAGCAACACCAACAGCAACAGCAACAGCAACAGCAACAGCAATCAAAACAACCACGACAACTACAACGACTGTAGGGTAAGCTGCTGTCCCTGCGACAACATGCGGTGATGGCAGCCACTTCCTTGTGGATTAGGTCCTTGTCTGGCAGCACTGTAGCTGAACTTGATGTGGAGGACTTGCGTCGAATCAATGAAAGGAACAAACCTGTGAGGGCGCTGAAAAGCTTTTTATAGCATCACAGACTGGTATTTCGCGAGTTCGGCAAAGGCTCTTTTTCAGCGAAGGGGCTTTGCGAGCTGGACGAGACTTGCGACAGTGCCAATGGACCTCAGGCTGGTGATTCTCACTTTCAATCTGCTGATGAGAAAGAATGAACTCTTCTCAGCTTGTGTACAAGGCCATTGAAGTCGAAGCAGCATTTGGCAGCTCAAAACGGCCACCTGGAGGTGGTGCGACTGCATGCGACTGCTGCTGGAGGCTGGTGTGAAAATAGGGGAGCATGTGAGCCCGACCGGTCGGTGCACCTGTGTTTTGCGTGTTTAGCCCGGGACAAATACTGAACACATATATACTCACCCGTGGACCGTTCGATGACTACACCAGCCGTGGCGTTGTCAGTCGGTCTTGTCTCCGCCGGGTGGCATGGGCAAGGGATCCAGTTGATGCACCAGGTGACGACCAGGCGTCGTGGCTAAAGCATCGAAGAGAAGGTCCTGAGGCGGGTCGTTGAGGTCCCTGGGTCGATCGTGGGGTCGATGTGGTCGGTGTGGTCCATGGTCCATGGCTGCTCTGGAGCTCACATGGTTACGTGGAGTTCACCCCCCTGTTAGTATAGAGAATGTCCATGATCTTCGTTTCGGGGCTATGCCATCCACTGTCCATCTTAGTTCCAAGGAGTGAGCTGCTGACAGGAACATGTGGGAACAAACATGGTTTCGGTGGAACTCAGACATGTCAAGAAGAGGGTGTCTCCGGTCTCCCAGAGTTCTTGTTTCCATCCGAATGGCAGACTCGCTGCTGTCACTGGCTGTCACTCAAATCCTGCCTCCGACTCCGAACAACGTGACCATTCGGCGAAAAGGGAATGGAAACTTCGTGCCCCTCTAAAAAAATCTGGAGGGAAGCTTTTGAGTCTTCAATGGTGCTTGGATATTGACTTGTATTGGCTCACAGACTGAGTCCACACGGTGAAAAGGCCTCAGCAAGACTCAGAAAAGTGCAGCCCGACTCAGACACTCAGAGATGTTCATTCTGGAATCAACATGCTGGTTGCATGGGCGGTTCTATAGGACGATTACATTCCTTGTCTGCTGTCAATAATAACTTTAGAATTACATCTCTTTACTCACGCGACGTATATGGTGTACACATGAGTATGTGGGATGGTTCCAAAAGCCAAGCTCCCCGGTGGTAATTTGCTTGTACTCTTCCGGTGGTGCGCGGAATTTGGATGTGTTCTTGTTCACCTACAGCGACCAAATCTACCCAACAAACAAACAGGTAGTGGAGAACACCAAAAAAAAACACCTGGTTTCAAACAACCCGTGATAAGTTCTCCATGAGTTTTTCTTCATCCTAAGTACCACCAAAGGTCATTGCAGGAGCTGCTTGGCCCTCCGTGTTTGGTTCTTCCGGTGCCATCAGGTCGCCTCGCAGGTCGCCTCACCTTCAGCCTCGATCCGGTCGTAGGTCACGTCACACGTCACACGTACACCGAGTGACATCGATGTCGAGGATAATTCCCAAGGCGACGGCGTTCAAGATCAGTTCGGTGACGTTCACGGTGTATACCTCGCGGAAACCGGTTCTGCGTTGTTGAGCGTTTCGCCCTGAAGTGGGCAATCAGAAAATGAACCATGGAAGTCAATAAAGGATTTCCACAGAATGCTGGTACATGCTAGAGAACCGCTACAGTAGTACATACATGTACCCTGTCATTCTGACTGATGATGGCAATGCTCCTTCAGATCAGTTCAGCCGGTCTTCTACGGAGTTGCTTTCTACATGTTCCCATTCCATGTGAGCCGAAGCTGGCGGGATTATCAAGCTGGGCTTGGTAGTCACCTGCACAATTCAACTAGTGAGCCGAAGAAATGGATGGACCCCCCTTTCCAGGCGCACTGCTAGATGGACCACTCCTACAAATAGAACCCTGATCCAACAAACACAGATTGAAAAGGCAAAATTAACACCTGGAAGGACCTGCATGAAGCCGAACATATTCAGGTAGATTCAGGTTGAATTCAAACCTGAAAAAACCAGCCCTCTGTGATTGTCTGAGCATCACGGGGTGATCACTGTGAAACAAGTGACCACGGTGCTCCCACGTGAAGCCTCCCACCTGTCCAATTACGAGACAGGAGACCCTTCTGTGGCTCACAGACTCATGACACAGCCTCCTTGAGCAACAACACATCCCTAGGGATCCAAGTACCTTCTCAGGTTCGGTACGACTGGACCCTCCTGGCACCTATAAAACAGTGTCTCCGTCCTCACCTAACCTGAGAAGGTACGAAAACGGATCCCTTGCCCCTCATGACTGCAGCACCAAAGTGGGACCAAGGTCTCCGGAATCGAAGATGTCCTGCAACATCTTTGTACCAGGTTATTTGCATGTCATTTTTCTCTTCCCAGATATTTGTGGATCTTGTTGAGCCCGGCTTGTTGAGCCCGGGGTTGTCCAACCGGCGCTTGGATGAGCAAAGGACCAAAAAGAAGGTTCCCACGTAGATGAGAATCACTGCCGCAAAGACTCCTCGGTGAGACGAGGACGACAGAACAACTCCTTTTGACCACCGGTTCCAACTTCCAAGCTATGCACCACCTTGTCCAAACATAGGCCAAATTGGATGGGAATAGCGCTAATTCGGGTTCCTGAACCTCAATAACAAATCCAGTTATTGGAAGGGTTGGATTCACATGCACCTGTGACATGCGAGTTCGGGTTTGGCTGCTGATCGTGTCATGTAGGAGTTCACGCCCACACTTGACCTGTAGAGATGCAACTCCTCGTTTGGGCTTCCCTCGTCAGGCTCCTGTGATGTTCAAGGACACAGTTCAGACATGTTGAAATGATAAGATATATTTTGAGAGGGTCAATTTCGATACATCTCCGTCGAAGAGGTCAATCATTATACTAGATGTGTCTAGGCCGGTGTTCTCACTGTGAAGGTCATCTGGCTTTGGACATGTTTGTTCTTCTTTTTTGCTTCCTCTACGAGGCGGCCGGAGCGACGTCCTCTACGAGGCTTCCACAAATCCTGGCCCTGTTCGAAGACGGACGAGCTGCCGAAGAAGCGAACCCGGTCGCAAAAACGGTCGCATACACGGAGGTCAGACCCATTTCTAAGGCACAAAGGACCTTTCCATATCAAAAAACCATGAGAAGAACAGAAGAACCTGGACCTGGAAGAAGCTGGACCTGCGGGGACTTTGCGCAAGAAGCGACCGATCCATGTCTGGACCGCTCCATGTGGTAGAAAAACCTCAAATCCGTGGATGGATGAGGCTGTCCAAATGACATAGGCGGGCTCCAAATGGGAGACCTCCTGGTCCAATGGGTTTTAGTCTATGTTTCCGAAGCTTCCAGGATGTTCTTTGGGAGGTTTATGAGGTTTCCCTATTTTAATACACACCCAAATGAATGTTGCACCCCCCAAAACATAACTGATAATATATATATATATATCTGCACAGGTTGCATTGGCACAGCCAATTTTTGAAGACCCTCACATGACCGGTGCCAGCTGGCAGTATTTTACGCCATCAACAGTGGAGGAGAATTTATGTAACTTGAGAGGAGGGAGACACGAAAGGTAGGACAGCGGGAAGAGAAGAGAACGCGAGAGGCAGGAACAAAAATGCAATGTTCGACATGGTGATTTATCCCCTCGGAGGCGAACTTTCGTAAATATATGTTCATATGCACTCTAAATGTTCAAACATATGCTCTCGAAATGTTCAAAAAGATTCTTAGGAAAACAAACTTGCCCCATGGCTCAGATCATCGGTGAGCATTGAATCGGAGCATCATAGGATTTGAACTATCCTGAAACCATAAGAGGCTCACGAAGACGCTCCCAGGAGAGAATTGACGTGCTTCACAAAACAAACTGGTCAATGGCTTATATAATATAATTAAAATGAAATATTAACACTTAGCCATTGACCTTGCAATCTATGTTTAAATAAAGATTGCGATCATGAAAAGTAAATTAATAAGAAGATAATGGCCATTAATTTTATGGCCTAATGATAATCTTTTTAATATTTTTCCATGAATTAATAAATATGTATCCCCTCGGGGAACACCTTTCGTGATTAGAATTTCATATGCACTCTTTCTGAATGTTCAAGAGGGTTTCAACTATCCTGAAATCATGAGAGGCTCACGAAGACGTTCTCCAGGAGAGAATTGAATTTAGAAGGGGGGCTGTATTGAAAAATCAGGTCCAAGGGGGCGGGGGGGGGGGGGGGGGTTTTGAGAAATCGATTCGAGAGGGGGGGGTCTGTATTGAATGATCAATTATTTGAACCCGGACGTCCCAACACTTGCTTCGCAAGACAAACTCAAGGTATTCCCTAAAGGGCTACCTTTCGTGACATGGTTGTTGGGAACTACGACCCATCTGCAAACTACAATTTCTTCCAGTTCGCCAGTTCTGCCCAGTTCCAGGCACCTCCCCTTGCCCACCTCGACCCCGACCTCGACCCCGACCTCGAACGAACGGGGGACGCCTCCGACCACTTCCGCCCTCCCTTTCTCGCTGCCCGGGGGTCGGTAGATCAGCAGGAGGAAGCTGGCCAGCTTGCGCCTCCGCGCGACTTTCACCAACCTCAGGCGGCAGGGCCCGGCGGCAGGGGTTGGAAGCCAAAGTTAACCGTTGTTGAGGTCAAGATGTGTAGTTTGTATATGTTGGTGGGTGGTTTCAAGACTGATTCATTTCGGTGCTTCATCTTCACATGGAATTGAAGTCTTAGAAAGGACATGAACCATTGAACATCTCCCCAGTCCGCGTTTGGAGAGCTCTTCTGTGATTCCTTCCGATGCCACGGGTCAAGCAGTGAGTCACTGAGCATCCGGGCCGATAGTAGGTCACCTGCCCGACGCGGCGGCTCACCGGGCGATCAGCCAAGCGCACACAGCACAGCGCTGCGCAAGTGGAGTTCACGGTCGCAGTCTTCCAAAGGTCAATGTTCCATGTTGTTGAGTGGGAGGTCGCATTCTATCAAGGTCTGAAAATAACAATGTACTATAAATAGCGTGAGAGGGGAGAATTGTGGCCAACATTGCAACAGCCAATGGTTGGCAGACTTCATTCTATTTTAATCATGGTCCGTCTTGTCCTCTCCTGCCTCCGTGTCCCAACTTACTTCGAATCGTTCTTGTTGAAACCATTTCGAAGCTGTCTGGACTGAATCTGCACCGGTTCCGGATCGAGCCGGTTCCCAGTCCGATGCTCGGAATGAATAGAGTCCGGGTCGCTTGGCGTGCTGAGAGTTCGTTGGGGCCAAGCTGATCAGGATCTAACAAACATTGATCCTCAGAATAGATACTTCGCATATAAGTGCAACTAACCGCATGCAAAATGAACACACATCAAAAATTGACGACGGCAGGAACCCAAAACCTTTAAAGAAAAAGACACCAATCTCACAGTCCCTGAGCTTTCCACCAAAAAGGGTGGGCCTTTGTCCCATTTGGACTCCCCATGACATGGGCCCACTCCGACCTCCACCTGGCCTGGGTGAAAGGGTTCTCGCGCGTGGCAATTTCCGTCTTCCCTGGAAGGACGGGTTTTGGGCGGAACGAAGGAGAAAAGGCGATGAATGAGGGCATGGCATCCAAAATGAGAGAGAGAGAGAACTTGTTCCAAGACGATGTTGATTAGCGCATTCACATGTTATATATATATATATAAATGGATGATGGATGTATCAAATTTGACAACATTGCTTACCCATTGACAACAGCTCTTCATGCGAACTGCTTTCTAAACGGGGTATGACATCCAAACATCCATGCCTGGACAAAGTGCTGCAAAGTCTGGGACTTCTTTCCTTACCCCGCATGGCACCTTCGATTCCAGCTCTGCCAGCTTGCTTGACGCATGATGGTTGCAACTGCGGGGCAGCCCAGCCACTGAACCTTGTATGATAGATTTGGTGTTATCTGAGCATCTGAGCAAAATGCCTCTTCTAGGTGGTTGACGTCCTTATAATGTTCCTTGTACCCCATATTGAAATGGATCCAGGGCTGATGAAGGCTCAATACATTTATCCCCATATATATATAAGTAATCACAGCTAAGCCAACCATGAATTGAGAAACGCTCGGCAAAGGGACACCCCAAAGCCAAACAGCTATCATAGAAACTTCTATCATCCTCGTTCTGGCCAAGAACCTCCGCTTTGACATGAACTACCCCACCTGCAAGTCACAATCCACCACTACCAGGCCAGGACAAAATGAGACCAACTTGGAATTTTCAGGGGGATTTGGAATCCTTACTCACGCCCTTGTTACTAGTAGCGTTCTTGCTCCTAGTAGTAGGGCCAGGAGCCCCTAGTAGCGTCCTTGCTCAGGAACGCCTAGTAGCTTCTTGTTGGTAGCTTCTAGCCTAAACGTCCAACTTGGACTCTCAGGCTGGATTTGGCTTTACGCTTGGCGTCCGAACGTTCTAAACGTCCCCCGTTCGGCCTCTGGGCACGGCTGCGACACCCCGGTGGAGTGCCAAGGCATGACTCACCTCCTGCGGACCGAGACAACACCCACCGGTTCCCATGCTTGAAAAAGGGGTCCGGTTCCCGCGGGGGTTTTTCAAGGGGGCGGTCGTTCTTTGAAGCCCAGAGATGGTCCATTTTCTGGCAGGAGATGGATGCGATGGATGTGTTGTTCCCGGTTTGGCAGTGGTCAAATGGGTTTGGCAGTGTGGGCCTATAGCTTGATTCACATGATCTAAGCCTCTCCTAGCTGGATAGCAAACGCAGGCTTCTACATCTTCAGGATCTTGTGGACAATCGCGTTTGCATTCAATTGCGGATGTTGACATAGAGATTCATTCGAACACCTTGAGTGTGAAGGACGATCACGCTCTCGGTTCTTGCTCGTCGCCGTGTTTTTCAACACGTGTCTCGTGGCATCGCTGTGCTGCTCGGTGGAAACGGAGGACATTCTGCTCAATGTGTCCGGGCATGTTATTGGACTACTCAACTTGATAGACTCTCCTAATGACCTCGGAGGTGATGCGACCTCACCAGTGACCACATAAACAAAAGCCTCAAGCACGAATCAACCACATTGCTGGGATGAGTGTGTGCGATCCTAACATGTTATTTGACAGAACATGGGATGGAACGTGTGAATATATTCGCATGGTTCCAATGGCTGTGGGTCACGGCACAAGGAGACCGGAGGAGACCGGACTATGGTGAACTATGGTGGACTGGTCGGGCTCCAGGTGGGTCACGACCAAATCAATTCCCCACCAAACCAATTGTCACCTTCGAAATAGAAAGGAATTCCAATATAGGACCCTAGGAATCCGTTTTCGTACCTTCCAAAGAAAATGATTGGAGACACTGTTATATAGGTTTGGAGGGTCCAGTCGTGCCTTCTGAGAAGGTATGACTGGATCCCTATAGGAATCATCCGATCTTTCCAGTGAATTGGTGTTTCTGTTCGTTTCGTGAACCTTCGTTTCGGTCCATCGTTTCTTGTCACCGACATCGACCCATGACGCGAGAGCGGGAAGGTTTGGTCGATGACATGTACAGGAAGAGCTTAGTATATAAATATATATTTATTTTTTGTTTGTTCAATGATCATAGAATATGACATCTGATATCAAACGAGTTCAGAGCATGAGGCTGGAAATGTAACATCAACCAAATGCAGAACAAATACACAATGATACACATGGCAATTCCAACAAACCATCCCAAACCATCGCTGGCTCGGACCGACCAGCCCTGCTCGCTGCTCCTTCGCCACCATCAAATACCAACAAATCAGCGCCACCAAGCCTGAAAAGAAAAGAGAACCCATGTGGTGGACGTCCCAAATCCTGGAACAGAGTCAAACAGCTGAGGAAAAGCCACTGCTACTTGTAAGTGATCTAAATGCCCGGAAGTGGACAAAAAACAAACATGGTCCACCTGAGACATGCAAAGGCATCCATTTGACCTGTATGCCACTTTTTCAGATTCCAACTCGATGAAACCAACTGATAGAACATCACAGAACATCAGCTTGCAGCAAACCCTCCAGCAGTTGCAGTAACCATGAGCTCTTCAGCTACGCTAGTGTTGACCTTCACCGAAAGAAGCACTCACTACTTATAGAGCATACCAATAACAAGCGACACAAAAACTGTTGATTGGCTCCTGGTCTTGATGGTGTGGTTGGTGTGTAGAATACTCCAAGCGTGCCCCAACCCGGTCGGGATAGAGAAGGTCCAAAATGTCTCGTTTGGATGGATCGATCGTGAGAAAAAAGGTGGGAACAATTGAACAGTCTATGTTGACAGGAATAGATTAGGATCGTTCGAACATGTCTCTTTTACTCTACCGACCAAGAAACAAAGGGGTCTCAAAGCAAAAAAACACCTCATAGACTAGAGGGAACGTAGATACACAGCCTTTCTGAAAGGGATCTCTCATTAGAATGTAGCTCCAGGTCTTCTACGACCCCCCTCCGGGAGGCGGATTTTCCGAAGAAAAGATCCGCGGTGGACTCTGGACCCTGCCTTTTCGCACCGACCCTTTTCGAGTGGGGACCGTTTCGGGGTTCCATGGTGGTCCTCTGCAGCAGAGGAAAAGCATCCAAAAGGAACTGGAAGTTAGGGTACGAGTACCGACCGTCTCTCAGCTTTACTCGCTAAGCCGTCTATAAGCTTCAATCAAGCCGCAAAGGACTTGCCCGGAAAAGAGCTCACGGATCAGTCCTTGGAAGAGTAGGCTAGTGATGAGCCTTCACAACTGAATGAAGCCTGCAATCATGAAGCTAGGACAAAACACCACAACCAAGTCACTGTTCTATAACTGTGAATGAAGCTCTTGAGATCCTCTTCACACTCAAAGATCCCGGTCCGTGAGTCCCTAGACTGTACCAATGTTGTACACCGGTCTGGTAGCAGGTAGCAGGTCCATGGGTCAGTGTCTACCAAACACGATTCAATAACATGTAACTCTTCAGGGGGGGGCCCATCATGGCCCATGGCGGGGTGGCCGCCATCGCTTTTTCAGTGTAAATCCTTGGACATTCACGACCGCTCTGAACTCCGAAATGGTTATGAAACGAGCTCCTTGGGCGGTTGCTCGCCGAGCTGGACGGTGGAATCCAATGGGGAGGTCAGTTGTTTGACGTAAGAAATAAGGCAGTATGAGGTCACAGTCTTCCGAACTAACCTCTGACCAAAACTCTTTTCCAAAGAATGCCATATTCTTTGTCTTGTGGTCTTATACGGGAACAATGTATGGCTAGAAATCAATTATATATTGGTCGTTCCATAGTCCTTTCAAGTGTCTAGACTCATAATATGGAGCCTAAACCACGGACAAGGGAGAGGCTACATTCAATCGAAAGTGATTGGCCACATCAGCAAGGTGTCATGCAACCAGTCCATTGCGGGAAGAAAGAATGGCCGACATATGAAAGTCTGCAATCTACTGAAGGTTGAGCTAGGTTCAAAGCAGCGAAACACAGCGCCAACAACCACAGTGGCTCCCCTGCGCACCTGCAGTGTAAAAACCTCCTTCCGGACTCGCCCTTGTACCTTCCGGACTAGGCCTTGCCTTCTCTCCCGAAAACCACGATCCCCGTGACGGGAGCCGCTTCTGAGTGGAGCGGCCGGTCTGGTTGGTGTTGAGATATTTTCCTCAGCTTCGAGCTCAGCTTCGCAGGGCCCAGGGGGGGTGTCGTTGCGGCCTGGGAACATGGAAAGGGGAAGCATGGGGAACATGAGATCCAAATCTAAATATTCTCATGAAGTCCTTCAAACAAGAAATCCACATCATGCAACTGATGAACTGAATCCCTTTTCCATGTTCCATTGAGTAACCTGGCTCCCAGATGCTCCAATCGTATCACTGTTTTCTTGCACCTCCTCTCCAGGTTTCTCACCCCTTCGAGGGGCGGATGTTCTCGACCATGTCCACCTGCAAACCCGCGATGTGCAACGACTTGTCCACTGCGCACACCCTCGAGGTCAAGGATTCCTGGCACGAAGAAAGAGGACCTGGGCCATACCTCAGAGGTAGGTTCCAAACAAGGAAGACTTGTGGGATATCTGGCAGAGTCTATTTGGTGCAACAAGATATACTAATTTAATCAATTTAGTTAGTCAGTAGACATGCTAAATTGGTGTATATTCTATGCCCAGTGCACAATACACAACGATACACAGTACACACCGATACACAGTATACACAGCTCCGACACCGCAACCATAGTTCTCAAACGCCTTCCGAACAAAAGCACTCAACCAGGATGCCCAAACCACTAGCTGTGTTCATGCGAACTGAAAACAAATCCTTCGCTCACCATCCTTCGTTTCCACAAGACCTGCCTTCGACACTGAGTCATACTCAGAGATGGAGTGTCCTGAAACAGTGGCAGGCAAGTGGTCAGCATGGACAGCGAGAATTTGGCCCTGTTGAACCCAGTGGAACCCAGGCAGTAAATGAATTACAGTGACAACATGCACGAGAATCTCTTTGTATGGGGTCAGGTTCCACTTGGTTCATTTTCTAGAGCACTTTGGCGAGTAACCCGCCAAGCAGCTAGAACACGTTGTCATTTGACCTCAAAAACCTTCTCAACTTCATTTTCACGCTCTGGCCTTGAGAAACGAGCATGTCGGAGGATCTTCCTTCAAAATTACTCAGTGTTTCCTATGCATGACCACCACCACCACCTAGCCACCGCCCCAAAGAGCCCCAGAGCCATCCTCAAATTTGAGACTCTGGGTATGGTGCACCATACCAAATTCCTCTACTACCAGAAGCAAACAAAACACATGAAGAATCGTGAGAACCAGCTCTTTCTGTGGCCCAGAATCGGGTGATCCCCCCCCAAACCACCCATCCTCCGAACCGCTCCCCCGCCGTCCTGAGGATCGCCGCCAGAAGTGCGCCTCCTCCAAAGGGGCAAAGGCCAAAGCTGTAGAGGATGGGTCCCATGGGTCGTCATTCGTACAATTCCGGGGGGGCCACTTGAAAATCAAGTTCCCACTGGGTCATCCTATGTCATTCGTTTAAATTCTGGAGCCACTTGAAAAGCCATTTCCCACTTCCATGATGATTTCAGGGAGGGCAAGGGATGAAGCTTTGCCAGGAAAGAACTGTAGCAGATTGTAGCAGCAACCACTGACCTCCCCAATATTGGGACATCTGGGATGGCACAAGTTTCAAGGGCCTCCAAAAACAACGTAGAACGGATTTCTGGTCTTCTTGATTATGCCAATTCAATCATGACACCAGCTGTTCTTGGCTGCTGATTGAACGGCAAGCTTAATACTAAATTGGTTCAACCCCAAATATCTCCAAATACATCCAAATACACAGTAGACATCTAAAATCTAAACCCTTTTGCAATCCAATGAGTTTTAAAGCCCGCTGTGCGCGCATATACTAGTAGTCACCTGGCTGCCACTGAGTATAGTGCACTAATAGTCTAATAGTCCTAAACGGGGCGTGCGTATAGAAGAACACGGTGAAACTCGCGAGTTTTGACTTTCAGTTTTTTGACCTGCAGCGACATATTGGATGCGTGCAGCGACATGTTGAAGCAATGTTGTCACTGCCCAAATCCACATGGCGCCTTATGACACCTTCTCTCAGTTGTCTGGCCTCAATGACCGTTCCAATTTCAGTCGCAGGTGTCCCTTACACCCCTCAAGGTAAGCACCCAAAATCTTTGTGGATGAGCCTATCCCATCCACGATAAGCGCCCAACAAACAACCATGAAACCACCACCACTACAACACCAACAACAACACATCGAACCCCCCCCAGAACCAACCATGTTCAGCTCGTCTTCGCTAGGTGCTTCGCTTCACCGAAAAACGCCGCGAGCGTCGCGCCAGTGCACCGGCTCCAGGCCCAGAAACTGGATCTGGCACAAAAATTCTGGGTCAACAAGGCTCACCCACCCTATAGGGATCCAGTTGTACCGAACCTCAGAAGGTACGACTGGACCCCCAAAAAAATAGATGAGAGTGTCGAACACATCACTGTACCTGAGAAGGTACGACTGGATCCCTAGGGCCACTATAGGTGAAAGCAAAAAAACACCACGACATTGGACAAACTCGAACATGTTGGGCCATCGGATCTTCGGAGATGTCTTCTCCTGAACGGTCTTTTCCTCAGTGATGTCGGGGTCCAAAAAGTTAAAGACGGCGATTCCCACGAAGATCACTTGCCTCGGCCGTGCAGGTGTATCTCCAGTGCACCAGGGAGAAGGGACAACCGCGGTCGATCATTCAAAAGCTTAAAGAAGGATAAATACATCTTTGCACCCGCCCTCTGTGGTTGTGGCCAGCAGCACTAAAACTACCATCGCTACTTATTAAGGGAGGGGGGGACCTTACAAAAATGTGCTGTAAGTTACATTGAACCTAGGGGGGTGCTGGTTTGACACATCAGATTTGTAAGCTTACATTTTTGAAAATGGACGTAAACAATGTAAACTTTCAATTCTCAAAATTGACGTAGAACAGGCAAACTTTACATTTTGTGTCTCAAATTCTCGTATATCTCGTTGTTTCATGTTGCTTCCGCAGTCTTGCAGAAACGTGAGCACGGGATAATTTCTAGAAGCCGACAGATCTGGTCTGAGGTCAATCAGCAAGTTAGAAAATGCTACAAACATGTTTCATGCCAGGGACCACCAAAAAAATGTAAGTTACCATGTGCATACTTGGTAAGTTACATTTTAGTGCCAACATGGTAAGCTACATTTTTCGCACACCCTCCCCACTCCCCCCTGGACTCTGGGGCACCGATGAATTCTTGGGAAATCCTTGCTCAACCAATAGGTATCCACTGGTCAGTCCCTGGGGAAACCCTTGGTCAAAAACGTGGGGGGGGGGTCCAACATACATTAATGGGGGCCCTAAATGTAAGTTACATGTTTTTAGTTCCCCCTCAAAAACCCACGGCAAGGATGGCGATCAACTACCTAGTTTGTCAAATAAATCAAGGACTGATGTTCCTTGTAACGTGGAAGGTAAGTGGGGCTGTGGACAGCCTGTTCCTCATGCACATTGCACTTCCCAAAGGCTAATTTCAATGGTCCACAGCCAGCACATACCAGCACTGCTGCTTCCAAGGGTTGTCCAGTTCACTACCTTACACTTGTAGTAGGTCTCTATTGCACCAACCCTTGGAAGTGCTAGGTGTTGGGTTAAGAGGGCTCAATCTTTGCTGCCTCGGATAGCGGTGTGTGTTTGACCTCGATCACTTGCAGTTTTCTCGATCACTTCCAGTGCTTCTCGATCACTTCCAGTGGCGTTAAGGGGTGTTTCACCACAAAGCCTGAGCATCAACAGCACCGAAATACTGCCGCTTTGTAAAAACCCAAAGACCTGGGGAGTGACCAATGCCCACCCGGGGTCACGTTTAGGTCGTGACCGTCGCGAAACGGCGACCGTACGTCACAAGTTCATCCGACCGATCGAGCGCATGACGTCAGCTGGGTACGACCACGGCGAAACGTTCGTGCCATCAAAGCGGCATGAGGACATTGACGATGGCCAAAACGCAGGTCTGGAGCGAACCCAATGGACCTCCGGTGGCGAGCACGGCGAGCACGGCCACTCATTTGTGCTTTGCCTGCTGTGGTTTGACATGAATTCCTCTTTGGATGTTAATCTTTAGTTCGAAGCCAGCGGCCAAAGCCAGTTTGCGTAGAGATTTGCTGCTTCCATCTGCGAAGGCGGGTCTTTTTGAGCTTCCTTTTTCAAATCTGGACCTATATCTCTTGTGGAACGGAGTTCAATTCCGGTGTTCCGCAAGAGGCCTTTTCGCGCTTTTCTGCTGCACATTCGCCTCCTTACCCCGAAAACGTTTCTGGATCAGACAGCAGGAGCCTTCTAAGCTCGTAGAGTCTGGCTGGCCAATTTTGCGATCTTGCTTAGACTGGCCGCTGAAAACCCTCGTGAGTGGCGTACTGCGTAAAACCCTGCGCTACGCACAGGGCATGCTGATCCACTGGTGGGTCGCCGGAGTTCCTCAAGGAGTTTCTCATTGTTGGTGTTCGGAAACACCATTTCCCGCATCATCCTAAAGCCCTAAAATTCTAAAGACGGGCTTTAGCTCTTCATGTTCCAAGCCAGCCTCATAGTCTAGCAAAGGTCCTAGCTGGTACAAGACTTCCAAATAGTTGGAACCCCATGTTCTCTCCCTTCTACCCTCCGATTTTGTTCACCAAACAGCATGCAAAAACCTGCGGTTGTTGGACGGTGTGTGCTGTAGTTCGGTGCTTCGCCTAGTGCTCCAGTGCCGATGAACAGCACCAAATCCCAGGTCGACTCTCCAAAGGTGTAGTACTCCTGCATGGCCGGACCGCGGTCAGCGCGGAGCGCAGGCGTTGACGGTGTAGTCCATGAATTTATGGATTTGGAGGATATGAAGATATGCAGACTTGGATTTCCGTCTGTCTGAGTGTCTGAGTATATGTAGCTCTGGATCTCCACAGCGGGTGTTCTTCAAATTGAACACAAACACACGCGCGCGCACATGCACAATACCTCATGTGTTCTTTGCAACCCCGCTCGCGCTCGGGTCCTGTGTTTGCCTTGGTGGCCAAACGTGCGGCAGAGGGGCCAATCCGAGTGAAATGGAAGGCTGCCATGTAGAGACATTCGTTGAGGTTGTTTTTTCCGTGCTCACCAAAAGCTTATTTGGGAGAAAAGGCAGCTGGGCTTTCTATTGTACCATCTCATATATAGAGGTATGGTCCAAGTTGTGTTTCACTGTGTTGATCACCTCCCAGTAAACATCAGGATGTTCAGGGAGTTTTAACAGTTCAAGAGTTCTCCATGCCTGTCCCCAATGACTTGCAGCCTATCCCGAACCCGTCATGACACTGCAGGTAAATGTACCAGGCCACAGGCCACATGCAGTCCTTCGGTCTGGAACGTATTGATGTTTAATCAGTTCTTCTACCGAGGTCTTGTAAGCTTGGAGGCCAAAGAAAACATCATATATACCGAACAGAAAGTGAGTCAGATGCGAAGATCTGAGGGCCAATCAGGGAATTGCATTTAAGGTTGCCTTTCCATCAAAAGATAGTGAGGTCAAATCTGTTTGGCCTGAAAAAGCAGTGTCCACTCTCATTATATATAGTATCCCCCGGGTCTGAAGAGGTGTTAAAGTCCAAATCTTGTTTTTAGATTACAATCAAAGAGACCACATTTAATTGCGTATGGTTGCGGCATCAAGCCATTGTTTCAGAATCCCTTGGAGCTAAGAAGGCAAGTCCAAATCGCAGCAGCTGCTGAGGCAAGGACAGGTGATCCAACAGTCCAACAGTGATATAGTTCATGTTGAAACACAGTAAGTCATAGTCGAATTCATGTTCTAGCAGTCAAGGATGTCCAGTAGCAAGGAGAAATAGGAGGACTCATCACATCTAAGAACTTCTGTGCGAAACTGCTCGCCCCTTTTACACACCTGCGAGAACCTTCAACGGCATTGTTCAACTTGCTCAAATTCACAGAAAAGCACCGATACTGCCGACACTGCTAAAGAAGGTGCCTGGGACGTGTATATACAAACAAATCTTACACCCGTCGATCGATGATTCATTGGGCCCGAAACAAGCTCCAAAAAGAGCCATGGTGTTCCGTGTTCGAGGTTTTGCTATCTTAAAATGTTATCTGTGTATAAATCGATTGGTTGGCAGTTCTTCGACTCGCGTTGTTTGAATATAATCATATCCAATCTCTTCTCCTTCCTGCCACTGGCTCATTCTCCGGAGCCATTTTACTTTTAGATCACAAGAGGTCCTCCGGATGGCCCATCTGTTGCTCATCTTCCTCCCCAGTGGCTCACCCCCAAGTCGCCCCCCCACGTCGCGACGGCGAAAGGGGGGAGAGAACAACCACCTGGTGACGGCTCGAAGGCTCTCTGGACTTAGGAAGGTGAGGGAAGCCTTGGAAGGAGGAAAGCCTTGGAAGGTGCCAAACATTAATCAGTTCCATTATTGGGGTGTCCTGCAACACAAGAAGGTCTCAAAACAAGCAGTACCTCTTTTCGGAGTGGTGCTGTATGTCTCTGCAGCATCCTAGAACCGGTTCTTCTTCTGCTTCTTTCTCTTTTGTGACTGACTTCTTTGAGGAGCTTCTTGCCACCCTTGACAATTCTATATTGAACTGATGCCCAGGGTGCGCAATCCAAAGTACAACCAACGTAATGCAAGCATACCATGTACATGCGGTTGGGGCAAGTTCTGCCAAGTGCAACTTCTTATGCAGCGTCTCTGCACATCTCTGCACATATAACATTTGTTTTTATGTCTAAGCCGTTGTCACGGTTGCCCGAAGTGACGGCTGATTGGAAGAAAATGAGGTGAGCAAATGGTTGACACACTAAAGAATGAGCTGAAAGAGGACGAACAAGCCTTAGAGAATCAAGTTAATGGGGGGCGCTTCATCACCAGTTTGCCTCCAAAAAAGGGCCAGAAACGTTTGCTTTGTGGTGTCTTGCAAATAACCTCTCCAACCATTTGCTCATACATTGCTGGCCACAAGTTCCGAGTTCACGACATTTTACATTGATGTGGGTCATGGTGCCTTGTAAACCCATCTACCGGCAACATCAGCGGGATAGTCAATCCACTGATTGAGGTATATAAATGTTCACCAGCTCCCATATTTGGGAGTGTATTCACGTGAAATGTGACATGTGCTTATCCGAGCCCCTGGGCAACAAGGCCAGGTCAAACAGGGGCCAGACAGTATCCCTGCTGCTCGAAAGCTTCCAGCATTCCGTACAGATTCTATTCCTCTATGCTCTCTGACATTCTCTGACAATGGTCAAATGGGATTGCCATCATCGTCAGGCAGTAGTAGAGGGGACACATCAAACTACAAGATTACGTTCTATCAACACATCATCTCATTGTTTTGCAATTCTACCAGGTTCTACCTGTTTTCCCCGCCGAGTCACAACAGAGACTCTTCACGGACCAACTCTCTTAAACCACGTGAATCACCGTGGTGTCCCAGACAACAGCTCTAGTTCGAGACAAGTGTTTTGTTGGAGCTTTGTTCCTAAATCAAGAAACAGTTCGGTTGGATTATATATGTTGGACGTGATCTCTATTTTATATACACACCATGTGGAGCAAAATAAATGAGAAAACGACATCCCAATTGGATGACTTGCTGAATCACAAGCGAAGGGTGACCTTTTGGTTCCATCTGTCTGGCATACCAAGGCTTGTACAAGCCGGAGAGACACAAAGCCAAAGAAACCATGATCACTCAAAACCAGCAGAATAATGATATAAGAAGACCCAGAACAGATCCTTTTAGTGAATACATGTGAAGACCAGGCTCCTACTAAACCGCGTTCAAGTTCGGCAGACTGGTGATTCTTCACAGGATGGATCTCCAAGATTCCTCGTGTTTCCGTATACTATAGGCTAGCACCTGCTAAGTACTAGATTCCTCTAACCCCACCTTCACCGGCAGGGTGCCCTTAAAATATAGTATATCGATGTGCAAACAGTGCCAACATGCTTAGAAAAACAACGTTTTTTTTTCAGAGCGATTTCCCGCCACTGGTGGATACTTTCTGCTCATCACATCGCCACTGGTGGGCTCTGTTCTCTCAAAGATTGGATCACCTCTAGCAGATCGTGGAGGTGGCGAACCCATCCGATGGGGGCCGACTCCGATCGGCGCCACGTTCAAATAGGCCACACCACCGTGAAACTCCCATAGAACCCCATGGTACATCCATGGTTTTGGACAAGAATTGTCTAGCCCCGACATGCTTCCTCAACCTGCACCATTCGCACGTTGTCAGGGGAATGGCCGAAAAAGAAAAAGCACTTTAAAAGTATCCTCTAAAATATAGGCCACGTGGGGGAACATTAGTTAGTCAGTTGAAAGAACAAAAAAACAACAAACAAGTGGGATGGATCACAAGTTGATCACACACAACAATTCATCAATCAACTTCGGTCTTCCCAATCTTCCTTACGCCCGAGCCGGCCTCGTTGGTGATCAGACATTGGCACTGGTGCTGCGGTGGAAGCCGCGATCCTTGGTCATGTGAGATCGATCCTTCGTTTAGAAAAAGACGACGACGCTGGATGACTAAACCCCAAGCTCTTGTTTCTACGTTCGCTTCTTGTTACTACTAGTAAGGCACTTGTTCCTAGTAGCGATGCACTTGTTTCTACCCAAAACAACATGGATTGTACAACCTCTTCATGTATAAAGGTCAAGACATCAAGAGTCAAGAGTCCACATGATTCATCCTGATGTTTTTGGGACCGTTTCGGGGAAACCCCTCAAAGAAGAACCACAACACATCACCGGCAAGCGACCGCACCTTGACAGGAGCCTCTAACTAAAGAGTTGGATTTGCGGACAAAAAGGAACATACTATACCTAGGATTCCAACCACCATTGATTAAATGGTTCTTACAGAAATAAGATGTTTAGACCCGCCAAACAGGACTAGGACACTAGGACAAGCATTTTATAATTGGTCTTGGAATGCTAGGGTTATGACTACTTCTTAGGGAAGCTGTGTTGGGAATGTGTTCTTCTAGCATGATGACATAAGGACAAATCACATTGTGAACCAACCAGAAACTGTAGCTAATGTAGAGCTGTAATTGGAAGCTGGACAGTTGCCAAGGCATGATGAATATCGAACTCTCGGATACACTGGTAGCTGACAGTCGATGGCACATGTGACTGACGTATCTACATGAATGGCTGACAGTCTAAAGGCCCCTGGGCGAAATTCAAACGATGCACCACCTCCGTTTTCGCCCATACCGTCCATGTGACGGATCTCCATGTGACTGATCCCCCTTATCAAAATATCTTGTAAGTATTCCTAATTCGCATGGGAACACGAGCCCCACACCAGTACTCACCCAAAGTCCCATGACTAGAGACTAGTCACGAACCATAGACTTGACTAAAGACTTTGGACCATCACTTATGTGAGACATAAAACACCATTCTGGGCTCAACAACTTGTGTGCATTCCTTTTTGAGGATTATGTTCATGAGAGCTTGGCCACATTGTTTGATTCAGCCAAATTCGAGAGGTGTCTTGGAGGGTCTTGTAGAGGGGTCCCTTACATTGGCACACCGGTCCCTTTGCTGTCCCACGGGGCAGAAAGTGGGCGAGCTGCCTCCTTTCGGTGGTTTTCGCAACCGAGACCAACTCCGCACTCCCAGCACCACCCGCTATGTGGTTCAAATGGTCTGGAAAGGGAAAGACTTACAAAGCCAAGGCTTTGAGACCATCACCACCAGGTTTCGGCCCACACCCTGCTTTTGGAAGCTGGTCTTCTACCAAGGTGCATTGGGGAAGTCCTCACTGAGCAAGGGCTGTCGCAGGCCTTTCCCCGTCGCCGAATCGTCCTGCCGCTTCGGTTGTTGGGCGGTTTTGTGGGCGGACCTGGGCAACGTTCCAAGCACGAAACATGCACCAAAGCATGTCTGCTTCAACATGCTTCATGTCTGCTTGGTTCGTGGAATCCCAAAGAAGCAACTTTCTGAAAGAGATCCGAGAAGCAACAGAACTGCCCAATCAACCCTTCAGGCCCAGGAACTACTCCGTGATCCTCAGGCGGTCCAACATCCGCGTCATCCCCTCCATCCTCCCCTCCATCCTCCCCCAGTCTTCCCACCTGCGCGGAAAGGACTCGGCGCTTCCGTGCCAAGGTGAGTTTGGCCAAGGACACCGCGTCATCGAGGCCGATCATGAAGGCCTGCCTGAGCGGGCGCCGAGGTCGAGACCCTGGCGCAGCTTGGGAGGTTGGCATGACCCTGCGAGTGCGAATGTGAGTGAAGGAGCTGAAGGAGCTGTGCCGGCAGCGATGTGCTTTAAAGCTTGGAAGATGGAGCAATTGAGTTGTCCATCTTCGTGGCCCAACTTTGCTCTGATATGTTCAACAAAATAGTTTTAAAAAAAGAGAAAAAAGGATGCAAACGAGTATTCAAAGCTAGCAACAATAAGGACGACAATAACAACACCAGTCCAACTCACTGATTACATCTGGACCAATGTTCTAGATGTTGACCCTTCAACTAAACCCCGATCATGGATCGTCCATGTCTCATTTTTTTTGTTGGAATGCACTGTAAGTCATTGAATCATCTTAACAAGAAGCTACTAGGGGCTCCTGGCCTTACTACTAGGAGCAAGGACGCTGCTATGGGCTCCTGGCATCGCTACAAGGAGCAAGAAGCTACTAGGAACAAGAAGCTACTAGGGGCTCCTTTGTCACCACCTTGTGAGGTGTTTATCGACTTGGGGACCATGCAAACGATTCAGGAGATGAGTTCACGCCGGGGATGCCGAGGGGTCGCTTTCGGTTCGGCGTTTTCGTTCACGAAGTCTATATGGCCCTTCGTCGAAGTGATCACAACCCCATGTCGCCCTTGGCCAAGCGGAACTCTTGGACAAACCACAACACCAAGAGGAGCCCCCCAATGATCGTGGCAAATTCTCAGAAACAGATTGTCCTTTCTTTGGCCCAATGAGACCTAATTGGTGTAGCTCTTTGAACTGGCATGGAACACCTTGACCTCTTATAAAACTGCCTGCTCAGCAAAAACAAAGCAGTAAAAAAAAGGAAATACAAACACATAAACCTTCTTAGAGAGCTCAAAGTGCTAAGTTAAAGGATGATCCCCAGGCCTTTGGCACCTCCCAATCTCAATCCTTCACCTTCCTTCACCTACAGCTCATACCTCATGATCCATTCACTTCCAGCTTCACTCCTTTCACGGCGCGTGTGGGCAGCTCCGACCCCTCTCCCCAGAAACGAAGCCAGAAAATGCTAGAAACTGTTTCTGAGTCGCATCCCACCATTCCCGCTGGCGCCCGAAACCATCGCCACGACCGGGCCGCTGGTCCAAGAGTGGCTTGGGACCCTCCGCAAAGTGCAGCTCCAACAGCAAGCGCACGCCTCGGGTTGATTGGGTTGCTCGCGGAGTGGGTGTTGGTCAGTCAGGACGTTACTGGTCGATGTGTGGATGCTGTGAGGCAATCTCACGACTGGAGCAGATAGACCCATCAGTCAGAGGGCTTGATCAGGGAAACTGTATGGCATATGGAATAGATTTTTAGCTTCAAGGAAAGTCTGGGGGGGGGTATGGTCTGTTCAATGTTCAGAAATGACTACAATGACCTGGAACCCTAGGAGTTAAGGTGGTTGAAGGTGAAACCAGGAGCCGAACGAAAGAGTCGAGCGCATCTTGAGCTTCCAGAGTCGAACGGCCATTCCACGGCCATTCGCTACCCGACAGTGAACAACTGCAGGTCGCTCTGAGAAAACTGAGAAAACCATGGTGAAAACCGGGAAACTTCAGGAAGAAACCGGCAGGTGTGTTGTTACAATCTCCCGCAGCCAGTGAAAGACACATTTCTGCCCCAGAGTCGAGTAGAAACAAAATGCCGAAGCTGAACTTTCTCCGGCTTGGGCACAGTCCGTATTGGGTTCCAAGCTGGAGGTGCAGCAAATGGTGGGCGAGTTCGTCCAATTTTCTATGGCTTTTTGAAGGATCGACATAGCGACAATTTAGAACCAATGGCACATGACCTAATACGTCAAAGAAATAAAACACAACTATTGAAAAATACTCGCGGAATATCGCAGACCGGGGAATTCTCTTCTCTATGTACTTGATGGTCCCAAGTGGTCATCCTGGTCATCTTTCACTTGCAAAGCATAGCTGGCCCAACTCATGTGGTAGGTCACCTGATATGATGGTGAATGATGATCTTCCTGTAGAGTGCGGGACTGTCATAGAGAATGTGCGATACCAATCTCCCACCTCTCCAGCCAAAAACCTCTCAGTCCTGAGGTCCGCATGAGAAACGGGCCCACGTCTCATCCGAACTGTTTCTCGCAGTCTTCCACCAAGTGGCGGCTTTTAGCTTCGGCAACAATGCAACCTGAAGATGGGAACGAAAAACAGCTGATTCACTCGACCCAAGTCACCTCACCCAGCCAAATACCTTGGTGTTTTAACATCTGATCCCTCCAAGTACCTTGGCCAATAGGATTGCTTTGGGGCAGAACTCAATTCCTGGGGGGGTCCCTGTTTCCTCCTTTCTTCCAAAGAAAGCACGCGAATCCCACGGGGTCAAAGAAAAACGGTTCGGTCGTTGGATGGCCCCATGCTCAGAGGCCATCGCGACTGTAGGGTTCGCTCTTTTTGTGGCCCCTTTTACATGGACCTCCAGTTCTGCACGGGTGAAACCCACTGGCTCAAGACTTCAGGTTCTGCCTTGATCCTGAATACACGGTTTGGCGTTGTACCTGCCAGGGTCTTAAGCAGTGTCCCAAATTATATAGATTGTCTTCCATCCTATACTATTTTTTTAATAAGTCACAACTGGGTCCGCACAAATTTGGTTAGATCAAATCATTGAAACACCGACCGAGGCACTGGCTACTTCGGAATTCGATTGGCTACTTCCAAAACAGCCTTGAACCTCGCCCCCTATCGAATGGCTCAAATAGCCACCACCTCACCACCTCTGAACCTGCATGTCTTTCACAAAACACTGTGTTTCATGCCCAAGTGGCTGATCTGCCGCTTCCGCCACTCCGTCAAGAGCTCTCGAAGCATCTCAATGGCAGTCCTGGGAGTTCACACAGGGGTCCCCTGGGAGTTCAACTTAGCTCCCGGGAGGCCACCGCTGTGGGAGGCCATGTCTGAAGGGCTGGCCATCGCGTCTGTAGGCTGGAGGCCATTCTATCCAATCTGCGCCGGGGTAGAATGGAATACTACATGGGAACCTGGTATCTGCTTCTGGTCTCGGTTCATGTCCGGTCTGCCCCAATGTCCAGTGTGTCCATGTGCGACACATGCGAATGCCGAAAGGTTTTGAGGTCTATGATTGGAAGCGGAACTCATGGTCTTCTGCGCCGTATGGCGCCGTCCATCTAGGAAGGGAAGACCATCTTAGATCTTAGACACTTGGCTGAAAAAAAAGAACATACTGAACCAGCAACCAGGTTTGTTCACACCATCTTAGAATATCTTAGTCTCACTGTGTCACGTCCCCTGAGCGGTGAGGCTGCTGTAGCAGTGTTGATCATATTGGGGAATATTGTCCACTTTCGATTGCAACGCTGGATCAATGGAAGTTGGTAACCTGAAAGTATGTGATGTTGCCGCACATGGCCATCAATCCTAGATTTCATCTGGGAATTGTACCAAAAGTATCCAAGCGCGCTCAAACATGAGTTGATCATAGTTGATCCAAAGTCATTGGACCCAGAACCCCTTCCAAACCTGGGCCCTTCCAGGTCAGTTTCAACACCTAAACCTCCCTCGGCCCGAACCCAAAAGAAAGCGTTGCCGGAGCGTCTTGTCCAAATCGTGCACACTGCCAAAGGGCAACACAATCACCTGACACGTTGATGGTCGATCCGTGGAACATCTCCGAAGGTTGATTCGGACAAACAAACCTGGTGGAAAGGGCGGAAAGTAGGTCGATTTGCATGGAACATCGAAAACAAAGATCTTGAAGAATCTGCATCCAACGTCTCATCGTGGTCTCCAAGACATTTGTTCCACGTCTGCGGCGAAAGTCCATTTCAAAAGAGAGCGAGAGCAAAAGCCATGGAGAAGGCGAGCACAGATTGAGCAGCGCAAGCAGCGAACTGCATCGTGCCCCATCAGTGGTCACCTCCCTCATGGAAAGCTGAACAGACTCATCTTGAGGTGTTCAGACCTCTTTACAAAGCTCCACTGTATACCTATCAGAATGCATCTATTCATCCTGTTTTTCTCGCATTTCTGCGGGAAGCACAGGATGAGGCTACAATCTGCCGCCAGCTATGTGACATCCTCTTGTGATGCCAGGATTTACAGCAGTGGGTACTTCGCTTGCCAAGTTCACAAGGAAACAAAGTCATGTCTTACTGAGCGTACTGCTCTCCTGTGATCTGTATCTGTCGAGTAGCCCAAAGCATGAAAAAACCCATCGAATTAGAAGCGGGCTGGTCAGATCTCTGACTTTCGCACCATGCTCCTGGCCTTTGAATTACTTGCACAGCAAGTTTTGGAAACACCCTTCAAAGGAACCTGCCTGAACACTCGAGCGACTCGAGTGGGATATGGGTACGTCGAAAGAGAGGGGAGTTTCCCAATCCGAGTCGAAGAACAACACTATACTTATCACTGAATCACGCAACAAAACAAAAAAATAACATTGACAATCATGAAGGGGACCCTCTTTTAAGACAAACCCAGATCTTGGACTCTTGGCGCATGAAGACTTACCCTTCATACGCCGAGTTCGCTCAGACATGCTCCTCCTCTCAAACGCGCTCCTCCTCCTTGGCTGCCTGCTTGGCACGCAGCCGGCGCATATCACGAGGATAGCTCCAATGTAGAAGGGTGTAGGCTGCCAGGGTAATCACCCAGGGAATGCAAATAGTTGCAGCCATTGCCTGCCCAAGTGCCCTTGCGGAAGAGAGAGACTTTCCGGACATCTCCTCAGCTCCAAACTTGTAGCCGAAAGCAAAGGCCAAGGTAGAAACCAAAGACGGACCGATGGCATTTGCCAAGGAGTTTTCCATGGCACATTCCCATGCCATAACCTTGCTCCGGTCGCTGGCAGGCACAATGTCTGAGAGAATGGGAAAGTTCGTGCCAGATTGTGCCCAGGAACCCAATAGGCCAAATGCTGCAATGAGGGCAAAGTACACACCAAAAGTGCCCTCACCTGGTGGGATGCCATAGAATTGCAGAAAGACCATCGGAATTCCAATGGCAACCGTGATCTGTGCACTGAGAGGCCTTCCATGATACCCGAAACGTCTGGCCAGGCAGTCTGCAATCATGCCTCCGATGCTGTTGCCGAAGACCCCCGCCACAGTTCCCTCAGCTGCCAAAATGCTGGCCTGCCAATCTTCCAGACCACAGAACTTGAAGAAGAGAAGATTGTTGCCCATGACGCTCCATGGAATGGTGCCAAACACTCCTTGCATGATCATCACACAGAAGGTGGGGATGCGCAGGAAGCTCAAGACTGTACAAAGTTCGGTCCGGACGGCTGCACAGCCTTTGGCTTTTGCGGACTGGTCCAACTCATGGTGAGGTTCCTTCAGGAAACCGGCCAATCCGGCTGCCACAATGAAGGCAACCAAGCCAGCACCAGCAAAGAGAAAGCGCCACCCAGGGATCTCCCCCACAAATGCGTTGGCCACGTTACCCGCAATGAGCAATGAGCAAAACATGCCAACGAGTAGGGCACTTTGTACTCGCCCAAAGATCTTGCCACGTTTGTTGTCACTGGTAAGATCTGCAATCAAGCCATTGCAAACTGGTCGTAGGGATGCAAGGAAGAAGCCACTCATGCCCCGCAAGAACATCATCACCCAGAAGTTGGGAACGAAGGCAAAAATGGCAACCGCGATGCCCTCTCCTATGGCTCCCAGCATCAAAATCGTCTTCTTCTGCAATGTGCCACGATCGGCCAGGATTCCCCAGAATGGAGCAGCTAAGTTGGTCAGAACCATCTGCACCGTGGTGAGGACGGCAAAGTGGCCCAGTTGCAAGCCCAAATCTCTTTGCAAGGCAAACTGACAGGCGGGAACCAATTGGGTATCCATGCCCTCCAATGCACTCACACAGCAAAGCCAAAGAAGGATAATGGTATTGGGTTCACGCTCGTCTGGGTTTGGCTCCTCTTTCTCCAAAGTGTGCCCAAGTTTCTTCTCTTCAACCACATTTTCGGTCTTGTACTCTGTGACTGGTTCAGCGACTGAAGTCAACTCCATGGCTGTTGCACACGGCTTGTCGACTGTCTACACTCTCCTGGAATCCAAAATCTGGGCAAAGCACGATGAATGAGACATCAAACTCCTACACCTGCACATGTGCAAACACACAGTGTGACACATATTCATTTACGAAGAAGGTTCCAAGAAGACTTAGTCCACGCCTCCACAGGATTCTCCTCTTCCTCTTCAATGAGCCGCCGGCGTTCCACCTGACGCCCAAAAAATCGAAAAAAATATGGAACAACCTATCAACACAGCTTGCAAGTGCCACCAGACTATGTTTCGTCGCACCAATGATCTTTTAGATTCACCATCGATGACCTGAACTTAAACATCCCAAACATGAAACACTCCGAACAAGTTCCTGGAAATCTTCAGGTTCTGTCGGCAAACATCATCCTGAGTCATCCTCAAGTCCGCCCTTTCACCTGCCAACATCATCCTGCGGCCGGACACAGCCGGACACACCGGGAGACCGGCCTCCTCCATGAAGTGGTCCGCGCTCGCGAAGGACAAGGGACCCCGGAACTCCAAGACCAGGATCCCCGGAAAGGTCCGACCTCGTCGAGTGACGCATTCGAACGACGCATCGAACGGGGCAAGGAGCCGAGCCGTTTTGTGGGGGATGCCGACGTCCGGTTTCACACGATTCGTGTTGATTCGTTGATTCGTGTCTTGGGCTCTCAGCTTTCCAACAACTGCAGTTACAATGGGTTGACCATCCGTGGGCGAAGATTGCCATACTCTCTCAACGAACCATGACTCGTGCCTTGTAGCCTACAAGGACCATCCATTAGGTGCGTTTGTGTAAAGACTTAAAATCTGGTGGATCGGAACCGCATACACAGCTCACACCCTGAACAATGAATTGTGAAATATATAGAATCATCTTTTGGAGGTACATGATACCCTGGTACCCAACTAGAGACACATCCAGATGCAAAACTCATGAGCATGGTGAAACAACACGCTCTGACTGGTAACGTCGATTCGACCGTGGTTTGAATTTTTGAGGGTCAACTTGGGCCAGCTGTGGCCGGCTGCCCGGCTTCGCGTGGCCGCTGTCCTGCTGTCTCAAATCCCACCTTCAGGCCAAACCTCTTGGTCCCGCCAAATGTTGCCCAAGGACCTCAGAGCTGCAAAGCCGTGGACCATGGATGGGAGGACCATTGGCCATCCAAAAATTCAGAAAACAACGTTAACCTTATCATAGGGCATGTAATGGATGTGAGTATCTGCTATGGACCAAACATGATTGAGTGGGATTCTGTATATTCTGCAAGTGTGGCAACCAACTTGACCAACATATAATTGGGGTGTACAGTATGTTCGTTGGACCTTTTGAGGACCAAGACAGCCTCTCAAGGTGACAGGTGGGAAGACCTATCCAAAAGCTCTTTGGCCAACCGCTACCTTTCCACTGAGCCTATCACAACTAACACAGTCCGTATCCTCGAAATACAAAAGGGAGCGAATCTGTCTTTGAGATAAGGTGAGTAGCAAAGAATGCAGCAAATCAGCCGTTACTCTACATCGAGGGGCGTGATGAACCCATGAAACGTTTTGCCGCCAAAGAGTGGTCTTGCAAGGCTTCGACTTCGGTACCTTGATTTGCAACCTTTTTAGACTGGACACACGCCAGACTGGACGGCCTGATCGCCAGACTGGACGGCCTGATGCTGGCTTCCTATCTTCGGATTTCGCCACAATCCGTTGCCCGCGGCGTGATTCTGAATATCGGCTGCAGGTCTTTGGGGGGACGTTCGGCGTTTCGGATAAATGAAGTGCATTGCGGACTTTCAAACACCAGTTGAAAAACATCAGCCACGGTTCTCGCGGTGTGCGTGTATACTCGCACATGTTGGTGAACTTGCGGGTATACTTTCGGTGGCTTCCAGGCGTCAACACTACATTCTGTCGTTTGCGTCATTCCATCTTGTCGTAACTTTGTCCGTTGCACCACGGTACCTTTTTCTCAGTTGGAACCGATGTCCAAAGTTGAGGCAACCTATTGTTCTAACACCTCGACTCGATGGATCTTCTGAGCTAGCCACATGACACTCAAGTTTCCCTATGGGATTTCCAAGATAGAGAGAGATAGAGAGACCCAGAAAACATTCTGCGGAATCGCATACCTGGTTGAGTAGAAGGGGTTCCTTGTGACTGGTCCTAGAAACAAATCAGCTGGCCCTGAACCGCTAGCCCTTGCATGGTCTTGCAAAAACAAAGAAGCAAACAAACAAAGCAAGCGAGCGACCAAGCAAGCAAGCACACACTTAGATCCATAATATAGTGATTAGCCGATGCATTCGCACTTGACATGAGCTGCTAGTAGACCTTGACATGACTGCTAGTAGGCAAGGCGAGGAACAGCTCCGAGGAACAGAAAATGCTTCACCTCGCCCCGGCGATCGCCGAGTCACAGCGTAGTGCAAGGGAGTCAAAAAGAAGGGATTAAAACATGGCAGGTGCAAGAGACATCCAGTATCTCATCCAAAGAAAGAACATCACAGCTTTTGTTTTCGCACGGCTAGGTAACCGGTCGCCGTGCCCCCCTGCATAACGGTACAAGGGAAATTGATTAAAAGGAACAATTATTGGGGATTCATTCATGTGGCCGAACTCCTTTGGAACAGGAGGTGGCACACACACACATACTAAGCCGTATCGGCGCTCCTCCCTGCATGCTATTTTTTCCGCAGCCCGCTAGTCGCTTTCTTAGGGAGGGCAACAGGTTGGATGATGGGGTGTGGCGGTTGCTTGTTGGTGGAGCTGGTGTTTGTCGAAGTAGTTATTTGGTATGGGAGTTAGTGGCGACGCTGAGGAAGGGCTCATCTGGTGGCAGTGTGGCAGGCTCAGAGGACAGGGGAATGGGTTCTGGCGGAGTTGCCGGGGCTGCGGAAGAATGTTGGCTGTCAGTCGGTGCAGCGGTGGTGTAAAGTGGGAAGTGGATCTGTCTGGGTACTGGCATCTGTGAGATGGATGCGGATGGGCATGGGAGGTGGAAGCTGATACACGGTGGGCGTCGGGCGTGGGCATGGTGTGGTGTCAGTGCCGGATGGAGGAGGAGGTTGTCCTCGTCCCTTGCCTTTGTTGGCGACTAGGGGTGTAGTTGCATTGGGGTGATCTGCCGCGACCGAGAAAGTTTAAGCACTTAAGAAGGTCTTAAAACTTGGAACTCCGAAATGGCATGCATCCGGTTGGGATCAGCATTCTAGTAATTGAGCCAGTGTTTCAGACATGATCAGGCAAGGCAGGAAGAGTTCGGAATTCTGCCCTCTTGAGAGTATGTGAATAGAGTTCCCAAAGCTGGGATCACATAGCACACCAAGGTGGGACGATGCCACGAGTACACGTTTAGCAGAAGTTCGGTGCATGTCAGTTGTGCATTAGCCTGTGGCTGCATTATAAGCTCTATACTAATCTATACTGATCTATACTATATAAACGCATAAAAAGAGAATGAACAACAGGTGAAACATGGTGAAAAAAAGCAGGTACGCTTGCCTAGGACACGTGCAGTATCCTCGTTGGCCGCTGACTGCACGAATTCCCAGCTGCCCCCCTGCTGTGTTAATGACAAATCATAAACATAAAAGAAGTTCGATTTGACTAATGAGGAGACTGTGTGAAATTGCAATCCCTTACAAACACGGGGGAAAATAGGTTGACACACACACAAACACATACACGATTCGCAGAACAGTCTCGGAATCGCAGAACGGTTTTCCACCACGATGCCACGACTGGTCGTCCCTTGGTGGCAACCCAACGATCCATAGAGTGCCAAGTGGATTCGCATTACCGGCTTTCAGGAGCTGAATCAAAGCTTCCAACATCTTCCAACCAAATCAACCCACATGTCACAACAGGTCACAACTATTTTCACACAGTTTTGTTTAATCAACTATATATTAAAATAACTATGTATGTTTCAGACATTTATATATATATATATATATGAACACTTCTATATATATATATATAGAGTCCACAAACGAACACCCCACCATCCCCGATCCGAGCGGCTCGATCCGGCCCAGCTTCACGACCCGCGGCACCGCCGCATCGTGGACCTGGTGGAGTTGGTGAGTGGCTCTGCATTGAGGGAGCTGACGGCCGACCACGGCCCCGAGGGGTGCAGAAACTCACATTGGGTTTGTATTTCAAGAGGGAGATCCCCTGGCCCTGGCATTATGTTCAATTGGCCTATGGAGGTAATTAGCATCTCTTCAGGCATTCTCTTCAGTAGCCACGTAGGCCAACAGCCGGAAGGAAAGAAATGATGTTCAATCAACAAGTGAGACAAATCACCAAAAACGAGTGGAGAAACGTGTGCTATGTGATTATAGCAGGGGAAGAACGCAGTCACACAGCCGGTGTTGCCCTCAGATTTAAACTTTAAACGATAGTTCCCAAATCAACCTTGCCATCCCTTTTTCCCCACCCTACCCTAATTGAGCTATCGCAGCTACACACCCACCTGTTGCTTGATGGTGTCAAGATGTGTGGACTTCACATTCATCTTCCGTCAGCTGGTTGACGCTGATTGGCACAGTTCATTGATGGAAATGAAGGTGCTTTGTCAGCCAAAGCTTGAGTTCAATGCCATGTCACACGAACATGTGGCGACTGGAATCACTTGCATTGCTGTGATTGGAGCGTTGTTGTCCTTTGTCCTTGCATTGGAGATGGTTCTTGTTCTTGGATGGATCCTGACACCGGAAGACTTCAAGGATCCTCCAAAAAGACATCATCATAATCGGTGAAAGCTTGGGTCTCGGATGCTGGCACCATTGTGGCACCCATTCTGCCAGAGGTCGATGGTCTCGAAACCCTTCGCATCTTGAGCCCCTCGAAACTGTTCGAATCTCCACAGCCGTTTCTCCGCCATTTCTCCGAGTCCCAAAAAGCGTTCACTTCAGCTTGGAGTGAGCCCCTTCTTGTGCATAACGAAAACCATGTGTTCTTGCAAGGTTCGCAAGGTTCTGGCCACATCTGGCCACCAGGGTCCCTGCTGGCTCAGCGTCTCCAGTCCAATCCATGCACAACAAGCAAAGGCTAAACATGGACCGATGTGCCTTGCATCATCAAGCATCCCACCCTACATCGTTGCCTTCAAAAGGAATGATAGGAACGGAATGGAATGGATCGCCTACCAAGGAGAAGGAAAACAACATATCAGCGGCACTCGTAACCGAAGACACTCACATCATTGAAGCACTTTCTTGAAGCTTCAAACATGTTAATTTTCGTTCGCTCTGAGCTGAGTTCAGTCTGTCTATCCGACTATCCTTTTAAAGAGGCCGTCTGAGATGTCTTTTTCTGTCCAGTCCAAGGAGCGCATCCAACTCAGTCCATGTCCCTTTGGGAACCAACAAACACATACTGAAAATCGATGATCCGGATATGATCGCCCATCAAACATGATGCAAACCGATGGCGGGAAGATAGAAGACCTGGTTTGGGTGCCTCATTTGCTTGCTTGAATTGCATATCTTAAGTACTCGGGGCGTAGATGCACCATGATACACCAAGCTTAGGTTGGAGGCCATCCGTAATAGGTTGGAGGCCATGACACATCGCTCTTAGGTTGGAAGCCATCGCTCTTATTTTGGAGGCCATTCCTCTTAGCTTGGAGGCCATTGCTAGTAGGCTGAAGGTCATCACTTCCAGGATGGAGGCCATTGCTACTACAGTAAGTTCTCGGGGCGTAGATGCACCATGATACACCGAGTCTTGAATTCTCCGCTTCTTCCGCATGCAAAATCGCCTGACGCGCCGAACCGGCAGACAATCGCTGCTCCAAGTGGCAATCATCAAGACGGACACGCCGACGGCCACGCCGATACCCCAAAGAACTCCCAAGAAGATCTGCAGCGGTCGCAGGTGAGAGTCCAGCCACTCATGACCAGTTGCGGGTCCAGCGGCTGAGGGAGCAAAGAAGAACATGAACGCGATAGTTTTTTTTGGGAATCAAGTTGCCTTAAGTTGGGCGTCGGGCTAGAAACTTTTGGCCAACTGGATGTTTTACCGGTCCGATTTGCAGTTTCACGCGATCTGCGGAATGTAGTTCAAACACCGATCGGATTCTCTTTCATGGTATACACATACAACTGATTCACAAAAGACTGAACCAATGAATCCGACGTTGAGCTGTCTATGATTTGGTCTTTGGAACCATTTCCCGTCTCTCCTGCTCTTGATAGTAGGCTACCCTTCTAAATAAGATTGACATCTCGCGCTCAGGAGCTTGGTTCCATAAGTTTCTAGCGATGCACTTGTCTATCAAGTAGTAATGCCCTTAATAAAGTTACTAGTACTAGGGGAAAAAAACACAAAAAACACAACGAGAAGGCCAAAACCCATCCGGTTCTTGCCTCGGTCCGAGGAACCCATCCGGTCTTTCGACACAGCGCTCCAACTCACGTGGAGACACAGCGCTCCGACTCGCCGTTCCATGGAAGTGGATGGATGGCCCACCCTTGTTTTGGTACAGAAAACCAGTCACCCACAGTCATCCAAAGGTCCATGTCCACTTCCATGCTACAAGCATATATTAACTGGTAATATATGCATATATATATATATGTATGTGTATATATATTATATTATGTAATAACTACTGATAACTACTGTATATTCCCGAGTCGGAGGGTTGGTACCGGAAGGTCATACCAGTCATAACACCTTTTCGGAAGCCCAGCTCGATGGATTTCCGGTCCCACCGTGAGGAGGAAGGCGATCCACCACACGATGAAGTCCCGTTTCATGCCACCTACAGCGGCGGCGGTTTTCGGCCGGGTCCCCGGCGCGATTCACAGCGTACGACCGTACTGAAGACTGAGGGACTCGCGTTGGAACCAAAAAAACAAATTTACCATTGTTCTACCTTTTGATGAAGCCATGTTGAGGGCATTTTGAGATCTTCGGGGTGGTGGGCAACTGGGCTCACCCATCAAATCACAAGGTGTCCTGTTCGGGGATGGATTGACCTCTGAAAACCCCAATGTGTAAATCTGTCAGTCCCATTAGTCGTGTCTGGCATTAGTAGTTGGGATCATCGCTGGTGCAAGGATCGTGGTCCAAGGAGGAGTGAGTCGAAAGCTTTTGGCTTCCAATCGAAATGCCACCAATTCCCAAACCTGAATGATGAGCACAGTAACAGCAACAATTCTGGACTCCACATGCCCCTCACATGCCCTAAGACTCACGGATTCTTCCCTGGAAAAGAAAAGAACCTTGGCCCAGTTGCCCCCGATCCTACCTCTTCCAACCACCGAACATCCGGCCCTTCACATCCGTTCCGGCCACCTTTGTGATAGGGCTTCCAAGAGCTCCAGAGCGTCGTGGGCGTGTGTATATCCACCAGCTGCCAGGTGGAGCGCAGAATGATGGCTGCTAGGGTGCTCTTGGGCAAATAATACAACCTCGAAAGGCATGCAACAAATTGCTCCAACGTGCCCTTGAAAACCGGACATCATCTGAACAAAGAACAGGTATGATTATGGCCCCATATTCCACTCTCTTCCATACCGACGGAGGGTCCAAATACATCACACCAAGCTCTGGCCCTCATCGGCGCTAAACGCGGGTCTACTCAGCCTACTCAGATCTCCCCATATACCAATCTGAACCTGGAAAACATGGGCGAATGAAAAGGTGACAACAGACTTCAACAGACCCACATGGGCCCTGGAAGTTCATGCATGAACAAAACAGATGTTGGCTCTGTCCTGGATGTTGGCTCTGCTTTCTCGGCTTCTAACCCATAGACACATGGCATGGCACTCGTGGCACTCTCGGTTCCGTGGTCCTTCCGTGGCCTGTGATTGGAATGACTTGGAACCCCTCCGACTCTGATAGCAGGAAAGCTCCAACGTTTCATCCAAGAAGGCAATTCTCTAATCAATGGACCATGAATTCCATGAATTGACATCCACCAAAAAAACACACGGACCATGTTGCCAAACATCTGCTGCTGTGTTTGTGCTCTGTGCTCCATCCAAGACGCACACCGGTGAGGAACTCTAAACTGCTGCCCACCACCACCAACTTCCTGAGGGGAGCTCAGAGCAGGAAGGCAGGCAGGACGGCAGGCAGGCAGCACGGGGTGGGTGCAGCATTCTGCTTCATTAGCCCAACTGGTCTACGAAGTGTTACGAAGTGTGGCACCATCGTTTGCACTTATTCAGCCTGTGGTCTAGCCAGTAGCCTTCTACAAGTACCAAGTGTGGAACAAAAAATGCGTACATGTTCAATCAATCACTGCAGAAAATAAGTGACTGCTCAGACCGTCTCGGACTGTTGACCCACAGAATTAGTTCTCCAAGAGTCATCAGGCCACTCATCTGTGTCTTCACGCCCACCTCACATTCAACAACTCATGGGCTGAGGGATATATACCCTCTCACAACTCCCATCGAAAACCATCCAAGATGGTTTCGGACCACAAAAAACACAAGAACCACTTTTGGAATTTTTGTGCCCCAGCTCAAAGACCCAACTTGTGACCTCTTCCACAAGAGCTTCACATACCACTTCTGGGATTACTTCTTGAAATAGTCCACAAGTGGCCAAAAAAACAAATTCGGGCCTAGTGTTTCCCCCCTCTCTTGATTCGCACTGAGCTGTTTCACCCATATGAAGATCAAAATTACAGTGGTGTACTTACGCATGGTTTGCTCTCACTTCAATGATTCACTTTGCGGAGCATTTGGAATGCACAAAAATAGGATGAGGTCCACACCTGCCTCCTTCGACCACTCCCTTTCAAACCAATCCTCCGTTGCGCCCAGCTCACGCGTCACGCGCGTCACGCGCATGACGCGGTGCACCTCGGACGCCAAAGAGGTGCGGCTTAAGGAGCCGCTGGGTGTGAAGGAACCGTAGAAGGAGCCGCACACCCCGGCCATGCCCAGCGCGAACATCTCCTGCGAACACCAACCTTCTTTGAGGCGCGAAGGAGGTGTCGTCTTACGCGCCTTCTGAGTGCGGAGATGGAGGGAGAATGCAGCTGATGAATTCAAATATATCCTATTGAAATGGAAGGCATGGAGCCCTCATTTCCTGAGGTGGCGAGGAGGTCGACTGCAGGTGGAGGTTATTTATACCTCCTACCTTAGGGGGGAGGTCATCTACCCCCTACCCTGCATTAATTAATTTTATTAATCCGGGGTACCTCCACTATTTAATCCTGAGCTGCTCTAGGTCTGGATTAGAAAATTAAAGTCTTTTGAATCAGAGGGGTTTTAGTCTCAACAAGATCATAAGCAACACTGAAAAGGGGAATCCACCTATTTAATCCGAAGGGCCTCCACCTAATTAATCTGCAAATTTTGAGAAGTCAGCCATAGGGTGGTTCACCACTCACATACCCTTGGATTCATTTCACACCTTTTTGCTCTCTCTTGAGATTCAAGCAGTGCGAACACAAAAATCACAAAATTAATCCACAGGTAGTTGAGTTCTTTCTATCCTTCAAGTTCTTTTTAAATCAACATTCTGCTTCCCCCCTTTTTGCATAACTACTAATCCAACCCCTGGACAGCTAATTAATCCAACAACCTTTCATAAAGGTGTTGTTCAACTTCTTGGTTAGCCACCCCCCTCAGGATTTTTTTTTACAAATTTGGAAAACTAATCCAAATAATTAATCCCAGAGCTCACGGGGGGCCTTGGGCACATTTCCTAAGGATGCATGTATGGTTATTTTATTCGCTTTGCAGGTTGTTGAAACACCATTTCTGCGAAACACAGGCCATGGTTCTACAGAACATGCCTGCCTACTGCCAATGTTGTGGTCGTGGGCAGCTTTTAGTGCAGATGGACCATGGCTAGCTGATGAAAAAAGGTCCCGCCTCTGAAGAGTCTGCCCTCATCCAAACCAACCAACCCTGAAAAACATGTTCTTTACATCGCCTTCCCTGTTGCGACTGACCAGTTCCTGCTGCGCCTAGTCAGGCTTCTCATCGCATCATGCATGTTGTCCATTTCCACCCCAAACATCTCGCAAATGAATAATTTACCTATCTGACTAATCTCACTAATCTGTGACTATCTGATCCCACTAAGAGCCAGTGGACCCCAACCGCATCATCCGTCGCGGACGACGATCTTTTTTAGCCGCTTCGCCCCTACCTGGCTGGCATCGATGTGATAGCCGTGCTGCAAGGCTTGCTTCTTTGAGGTGGCGTAGGTGGTCAAGAAGGATGTTAAGGCCACCAAGAAGCCGCCCATGCAAAACCTCGGATGTTTCCAGGGATTCCTGTTTTGCTGCTTCACATGGAGCTTGAAGTGGTGTGTAATACCATGGGAGAGCGTTTGGCTGGGTCATTTGGCAGGCTTCACTTCACTCTTACATACTCCTGCAGGGACTAGTCCTTTTCTATCATATTGTTCACTTCAACAGCTGGCAGGCGCCCCAGGTCCGCTCAAATGAGTAGGCTCCCAGGTCTCTGTTGGTGAGCCCTTGAGTGCACCCTGAAGAGTTGCAGGCATGGTGGAAGACTGCATGACATCCTGGAACATGTGGATTTTCACCGCGCTGACTGCACTAATTATATTTATATATTGATGTTGGGATTTCATATGCTGTGATTTTTTGATTTTGACGTGATTTCATGCATACTGCATCAAGTCTTGTTTGATTTTGACCTCAGCCAATCAGAAGCCACACTCAAAGCCCACCACGGCCCCATGCATCACCGGGGAGCTCTTTCAGCCGAAAATGCGTGTCGAGCATGCGTTGAGAGGCGGGATATTCCCATGCAGGCCTCAGTGCAGGATCTGGGTGTGCGCGAAGAAAACGAGACGGTGCACAAGATCGAGACTATAGATTTACGTGGCCACAAAATAGCTGGGCTGCGACTTTTGGTCAAGAGTCTTTTTTTGTTTTCGGGGGAGTATACTGGTGTCAGTTGATGGTTGGTTCCTAGACAATGCAGTGATTGTGATGTTTACTGATGATACGGATCTGTTGCGTTCACCTGAAGACGAACTTTCAACAAACATTATATAGAACAAATATGAACAAACCCTTCAGAAGCTCACCCCAACCTTGCTGATTGACCAAATATTCCTGCACTATCCTATGAGCAAATGAACAAACTGAATCCATTTTTTTTTAATTATGTATATATATAAACAAGCAAGAATACAACACATCACATCAGTTGGTGTTTATTTGCTGTGTCGCACGACTAGACTTAATCCAGAACTTGAATACAAACTAACAAACCTGATTGGGACGCGACAAAGTAAACAACAATGCAAATTCCATAGCGTGTACCCGTGGAGTTAAACCTCTTATATACCCGGACCTGGTCAGGACTCCGCCAAAAGGTACTGTAGACCCACAGAACTAAATGCTTCCTACCAGCCCAGTTGCTTCTTTGGCAATTCCAATGCTTTGCAGGAGGGCAAAAACAGAATTTTCATGTAGCAAATTCAATGATCACTATAGAGTTTCAACTCCCCTAAAAGAATCACGAACAATTACGTACAAAAAGCAATATCATTCCATCTGCTGTGTACCCGAAAGCTCTTCTACTCCGTTGCTGAGCCTTCAGACGTTGGAAAATATTCCGTTACAGACTCTTTTACGACGTCTTGTACCCAATACCCTGTCAGGATGGTGATTGGATGGAAAACACATGGGATTCGGAGGGGATCTGCAAACCACGATGGCAAATTGGGTCTGCTATCAACACTGATGATCACTGATGACAAAAAGCATGATTCTACTAGACATAGACTCTTTCAGTTTCTTCCAGAAAAAAAAGGAACAAACGCTAGAACGAACACCTGGTCAGCCAGTGGCTGACCCGGTCAGCCTGTTTCACCGGCCGGGGAAAAGGGGCCCTGTCGGGTGCGAGCGAGGCACTTGAAGCCAGGCAAACCGGCCGGGATATCCCCCACCACTGGGAGGATGGGCTCGCCACTCTCATCACCTGGGCTCGTGTTTTTTCCTCGACCGACGTGGAAAAAAAAAACAAAACGAAAGCGAGTTGGGAATTCCTGGGACTGGGACTGGGTCATGCGCTCAAAGTCAGCTTTGGATAGGAGAGACATTCAAGGGACTTTAAAGACAGGAAATGGTTAAAACATGTTAAAACATGTTTAAACTGCTTTTATTGGGAAGTGTGTGTGTTCGTTTTTGGCTTCACGTTGGAGTTGCATGTGAGGTTTCGCGTGGTGAAAGCTGAGGGCCACGTGTCAGCCTGTTTCAGACATCAGTCCTCAGTGTTGAGGACTGGCAAATCCTCGAGAAGCAGCCAACCCCTTGTCTTCATCGTAAGAAACAGGGCTCTAAAGAGAAAACATCGGTAAGTTATGAACACATTTGTTTCATCATGTATCAATGTGATTTCATGGCGTCCTTGATCACTTCTCCATGAAACACAGAGAATTCCATGCCTACCAAGAAGGCAGCTACCCTCCCAAGGTGGCCTACTCATGCTAAGAATATTTGTGTCATGGATACCCTTCCCCCTGACCCCCACCCAAAAAACACCAGCTGCCTATTTGTCCCTTTTGCTAGCGAATTCGTCACCCCCAAAGAGAGACATCGGTCCGGGCCCCGCTTCCTCGTTCCTCGCTTCGACCGGGTGGTTCTCCACGCGTCAAGCCAGCCGGAAGCTCGACTCGTCTCGGTGAACCAACGAGGTACAGGTGCAATAGGCGAAAATGATGCTAATCGTCACCAAGACCAACTCCTACGACTCCAAACACGAGTTGACTCGTCCAAGTCAACGAGTGTTTCGTGACGGGACATCACTTGGTCAAATCGCCTTTTGCTGACTGGCCAGACCCAACGCATGTCTTTGTCATGGTTGGGGATCAGCCATGGAAGATTGTGACCTTTCTGTGAAGCACCATTCATGGACTTCCGTAGCTTAAACAACTCTTGAAAGGAAGCCTCAAGAGACCTACACCCCAAGGAGACTAACGAACCAAGTAGTTCAAACGATTGAAGAACATGTGGTCCTCATGGGAGATTGTCTGCAAATAGCTGTAAATACTTGACCCATCATGTGTAGACTGGAACTTGGCCAGTTAAGTGGTTTATAGCCGAGAAAATCGGAACATGACGAGCAAATCACCACCTGTGACTACTTGGGGAAAGGACATTGGTGGAAGCAACTCACAAAGTCTTCCATGGGAGCTTCACTGAAATCAAAACCTCTTGAGGTGGACTTGGTGAAGATTTAAAGACCGTCTGGCGTTCACCCCGTCTTCAAGGAGAAGCTGTGTGACACAGCCGCTTACGCTTTCAGGTTTTTCCCTACAATATGTGTGTATGTGACGTCTTTCAAATTGTTTCTTACCCGGGTATGTTTCGGGTGTACATGATTGCACCAGGCGCCAAGAGTTAGGTTGCGGCAGGCTTGAATAACTCACGGCCCACGGCCCAAGTGTGTGTGTGAGAGAGAGAGAGACATGCCACTTCAACAGTTGTTAGAAATGTCCTTCTGGTACGTACAGAAGGGACACAGAATTACTCCCTTCCCTTCGGGTTCTTCATGGCGAGAAAACTCTTCTGCTTCTTGCTCACCCCCACTCTTTTAGAAGTAACAGGCTACCAATCACATCTGGGGTCCCTCTTGCCATCCCTGAACTTGGCGCCCTCCAGCCTCCGTCTTCGCGAACGCGGAAAGTGCAACCCCTCCAAAACCGGCGTCCGACTCGCTGAGTTGTCCTAAAAGAAAAAGGGTTCACCTGTTTTTTCGTGTTAGATCTGTAGATCTGTAGACCGTACACTTGAATTGGGACAAACCTTAAACAAGAAGGTGGTAGCTATTTTGGGATGAAAGACATGTGGCATGAGATTCCGTCCTTCATCTCGGAGGCAATCTTTGCGGGGACCATCCACTTGGGATGTGGCCCGGGCTTCTTGAGCTCGGCCACCAAGTATTTCCTCGAGCCAAAAACAAGGAAAACGACAAACCAGGTGAAAGGGACAGAGTGTATGATGGGACTATGGGTTTGCTCTTAAGCAATGTCGAGCAACCACACCCATTGGCTCCGGCTGGCTTTAGGGTTGGCCTTGAAGCCTGTCCAGGGAGGTGGGTTCCACCTCCACCGTCCAAAACACCACCCACCAGTAGCCAAATGTATATATAGTGATATAAAACATTATAAAACAAGATGTTTCTTCCGAACAACGGAGCATGCAACTGGTAGCAGCACACAGAATCGATCTTTAGCTGGCAGGTGCTTAGCCTGCGCAGCCCGCTGTCGGCCCAGCTTCTTGAGCCACATCATCAACTGCAGCACCATCATCATGGATAAACCTCAGCTGAAGCAACACGTGTTTGCTCCAAACAAGTCTCTGAGTCTACAATTGGTTTGCTTCAACCCCACACCCCTCCAAATGAGGGTCCGGCCTACTAGCTTATAGGCCCTCCAAAGCCTCTTGCTAACAGAATATGATATATCATTGTGTACTCGTCCGTCAGTGTCAGTAGTGTCGCGTCCGTTCAGTTGGTCTCTGTCGCTGGTCGACCCATTCCATTGAATTTCGAAGGAAACACTGAACAATAATGATCTGAAAAAAAGAAAAAAGAACGCACCTTGGTCAACTGGCAAGTCTTTCAAACTCTCATGCTCTTCGGTCTCCCTAGTAGGTTGGAGGCCATGGCCATTAGTATTAGGTTGGAGGCCATCATAACCTCCAGGCTCCCGAGCTGTGCCACAGCTGTGCCCGGCGACCGAGGAGCCCCAAATGGTTCCAAGGATGTGGGTCTCGGGCAATGCTCCGATGATGGCACTCACTTGGTTGGTGAAGCCAATGGCGTGTCGCATCTTCCTGAGCTGTTTGAAGCCAATGGCACTCGCTTCAGAGTGTCAAGCATCACATGGAAGTGGAAGATCACTGATCACCCTCTTGTTAAGGGAAACTTGTCATCCAAGGGGGCCATCCACTTCCATGGTTATTTCCGGAGTCTACTTCTTGGGTTGACACAACCGCTTGGCCTGGATTAGATCTCGAAACCACAAACAACTTTTGCCCCTCACTCAGGAAGGGTCCACCAAAACGGAAGGCCAAAGACGAAGGACTTGGATCTCTGAGGAAACATAGACCAATCCCAAAGGAGACAGTTGCATTCTCATCCTATGAGGTTTCAAGTGCTCGAGAAGTGTCGAGACCTCATCTGTGTGAGGCTTGTGCTGTACCTCGACTGGGGACTATCATAGTGAACAAAGAAATTGTTAACTTAAATGATCCAACATGACAAATGGCCAGGATCGACTCTTTGGCTTTTGTTATTTTTTTATGCGTGGACAGCGGTTACCAGGGGATTCATTGAGTTACCCTCCCTGAACATCTCATGGTGACGTGGATTTCACCCCCCCAGTTCGTCAAGGAAGCTTGCGTCTCCTCCGTTCCACTTCGTGTTGGAGGGTCGTAAGGGTCTGTGAGGGTCGACTCAGGTGTCTCCGTGTGGCTTTCAACGTCAGCACCTGGGTCGACACGATGTCGGCAGAGGTGACATGGGTGACACGGGGACGACAGAGCTGTGAAACTTGACTGACTCTTCAGTCAGAGACAAAGAGAGAGAGGAGAGAGAGAGAGAGAGAACAGTTCTTCCAGAAACGGGTGAATGAGGCATCCCGTTTAGTGGGAATCCACACCATCTGAGAGTTCGGTCTTTTGCTCTCCCCGCACAGTATACAGTCAACCGACAGTCGCCCCCCCCTTTCGATCTGCGCAGATCTCGATCTGCGCAGCCGAGCTGCATGAGGCCGAGGAGGTTCCTCAACTGTCCCACGAGGATCAGCACGGAGCCACCCGTGACGAAGCCACTGATGAGCGACTGCGACAAGAAGCGGACCTATGGAGGGCACAAAGTCACCGAGCTGAGGTGCTGCGGAGATGAAGGATTTTCTTTTTTGTTAAAGGGGGGGGTAGGCCGCAGAGCGAAGAGGTAGTATCTAGGTAGCTAGTAGTAGCTAAGTAGCTAGTAGCTTAAGTAGCTACTACTAAGGACGCAGGATAGCTCACGCTTTGAAGAAGCGCTCGCACTATTCATTTGGTTCCTAGATTTTTAGGGAAACGCAAGATTGAAAGGGCCTTTGTTTGAAGAGGTAGGGATAGGCTATGATAGGCTGACAGGCAAGGCAACAGAAAGTGAGCTGAGGTATGGTAAATTAAGCAAAGGTGGTTAGTTCTCAGACTCAGAATCCTTTTCGAACACTGGGCTTTCATCATCTTTCATCTATGTTCATGTTTTGCAAGGGTGTTTGGATGGTCCAAAGAAAAAGGAACTCCACAACAACACTGGAGGGACATGGCGGGACAATTATGTATGAAACCAGTCAACCACGTTCTTGTTCAGTTCATATCGAATCTCATTCTTGCTCATAGAAGGCTGAACGAGAGCAATTGCACCCAAGCAACTGTATATAAATATATAATTCAAGTCCCTTGATTATAGTGCCGAAGAGTGGGTTGTGCTCAACGCTCCCTATATGTGGCTTATCTACTCACACATCACTGAGCTTGCAGTGTCATGGCCCATGGTCGTTTAGTGGTCGTGCGTTAGTTCTTCAAACATTTCAAACTGAATAAATCATGAATGGGTCATCAGATTGAACACTTGTTGGGCAATTGGGTTAGTCAAAATGAGGATACCTCTGGTGAGCTACCAACGATGCGGTCGTTCGCTACAGGGTGGATTGGTCGGGTTTTGGTCGTTGACCCACCCAACCCCAAATGGGTCCTGCTGCGACCAGTCGGCCAGCTTCGTCCGGAAGATCTTCAGTCATCTCATGTGAGTGGATGAACTGCGTCGAACTCAAGAAATGGTCTGAGACGACCGGGGCCAATTGAAGCCCCCAACATGTAGGAGAACCAGTTCTGAAGGAGCTCGGAACAAGCAGGGGGCTGAAAGCACCAATGGTTCTGCTGGAACATCCGATTTGTACAAATCCAGTTCTGAAGGAACATACAAATCGGATTGCTAGAACTGGAGATGACATCTGAAGTATCCAGTCCATGGGTCGCCCCAAGAGTCGTGGAAAACAGCTTGGCCGGGGCGGACGACGTCCGACGGGGCGGGGTGCTGAAGCAAAAGGACTGAGGTGAACCGCCGCACCCTCAAAACAACAGGTGAAAAATGGTGAGATTGGATGGTTAGTTGGACGATGTTACAATCAAACCCCTAGCATCCCCTATAGTCGTGAAATCGTACCACTAAGTTCATCCCATGTCCCAAGAGTTGTTGCCCAGCAGCCGCATAGGCGGCCTGACACAAGCCCATGGCCACTAACCAACCACCGGAGATCAAAGCAAGCAGTGAGGCCAATTCCTCAGTCTTGGGCTGCTATGGACCACTCAAACGATCACAGGTTGAGGTGAATTTATTGTGATTTTTTAAAAGAAAATTAAAAACACTTCAATGACTGTAAAAGACAAACTATTGGGTTGGAGGCCATGCTAGTAGGTTGGAGGCCATCTCGAGTAGATTGGAGGCCATCGCTGTTCGAAACAATCCAAAAAACCAACTCTATAAAAAGTCTTTTGGATGGTCAGGATGGTTCTGGCCTCTCTCTCCTGGAGGTCCACTAAACATCTTGCGGATTCTGCCTTCTATCATCTTCTATCTGCTTTTGTTGAGGTGTTCTCTCTCTTTCGATCCTGGAAACACCTTCGATTCACCAAGGGTATGGTCTCATACTGCAGGTGAACCACGGGCAGCGGGGCCCACGCACTGGTGGTCAACACAGAAGTCGAACATGGCCGACGCGTGTGACGCTTGGCGTCGGTGCGTTCTTCTTCATCGTGCCAGAACTGGAGCTGATCCGCCAAGAGAATGGCAGCAATCGCACCTGCGGCGGTGAAACGGCCCAACAGGCCGGCGTTTTCACTTCATGCTCCTTGGGTTTCTTGAAATAGAACATGCTAATAAGATGAAACCTGTTGGACATGTTGCAAACAAGTGGCTGTTTGGACCAGAAGGTTGCTGAAAGCCCCAAAACCATCCAAAAAGCATCAGGTGTATCGTGGCATACCACGATACACCTGATGTGGGAGAGCCCGCCGATGGATATCTCAGCCTGCAAATCAGCCTGCAAGATCCCTGCATGGACATGTGTCAGCCTCGACTTGTTGCCTTTTGTTTAAATAAATAATTACCCGCAAAATAGGGAACTTTTGAGCTATATACAATTCAAGCACAGAGTATTTATGCAGAAATAAAGCTCGCACATTATGGATCGGTATTTGTCACTGGAGGCAGTCTTTTGTATCACGGACACAGCCGCCATGACAAATCTGGGAGTGTTTAATGGTGAATAATATGTATTATATAATTTATATACATCCACAGAGATCCACAGAGTATATTGTGCTAGGAAATGCTTGCTTGATCAATCCTACAGCGGCAAACAATCAACAAATTCTGTTCCAAACATTGTCAGTTTAAATATGTTTAAATACTGCTTCGACCCCAACATGTCCATAATGTTCAATCACAATCCCCAAAAGTAGCTGTGCCTGAGGAGATGGAGGCATGAGGAGAGGTGCCCAGCATGGCATATACGAAGGGTGGCACGAAGGCACAGTAAGGTCCTGCAGCGACGAGCTGCACAGCTGAACTGACTTGGCAAAATCACTGATGTCTGTCATACAGTTGGTCTCATTGCTGAGGTGGCCATGAACTTCCAATGGTGAACAGAGGTGCTTTCGGTGCTTTCGTCTTGTCACACAAACACTTGAAGGACCCATCATGACTTGAAGGACCCATCTACTGGTTGTCGGTTCCAACCCAAATGAACAATGGAATTGAAAGGGTTCAAAGTAAGCAATATACAAACATTATACAATATACATCTCCTTGTGCATCTACAGAACTGGCGCATCTACAGGTCCGTCACGCTGCTTACCTGCTCGTCACCATTGTCCGGTGCTGTGCCTGGAAGTGGAGGGAACATCGAGTCCATTTCAAAGCGATGCAGGACGATGCTGTGTATACCCTAGGGGATCCCTAGGGATCCGTTTTCGTACCGAACCTCAGGTACGGTGATGTGTTCGACACTGTAGGTGCCAGGAGGGTCCACGTACCTTCTGAGAAGGTATTTAGATCCCTAGGGATTGTTCACTTCAACAGCTGGCAGGCTCAGAGGTGTTCTGTTCTGAGAAGGTACGACTGGATCCCTAGGGATAAACGGTATAACACGCCGAAGGTGTTCACCAACTGTTTGATTTTGGGCCCCCGCAATCCCGTGGCGATCGCCACGTCGAGTGGGTGGGAGATGGCTGGCGTGCCATCCTTTCGCTGCAATCTTAAGGATCTTAGGGTCCAAGAATTCGATGGAAAAACACAACAATCATGAAACTCCATGGATCCGACCTTTTGACAAATCAATAGCCTCTTCAACGTCCAACCAAGTATTGAAGAACGCCACCAATTCAACCGGCGCAGACCCTCCGCTTGGGTCGGCCTTGGCCTCCACAAATCCGAGATCGCAACAGTCCGCTTGAAGGATACAAGTATGGAAGATTTAATCTCTGCTTGAAGGAACTGTTTGAACAAGAACTAGGCCATGATCCCGAAATCGATAGTGACACAGGTTCAAATACATTTTCAGTTGTGATCTATACTTTTCTATCTGTTTGGGGGTGTCTGGCCATAAGCACTCTGAAAAATTCACTCCTCGTCAACCCCTTGTCGTCCGGCCGACCGTGCGTGCATCCTTGAATGACTTTGGTGGTGGCAATAGCCGCATGTGCTAACGTCTGGACCAAACAAATCAAGGCAATGGTCGCGCCACCCACGAAATCCTCAGATGCTCGCTCGGACTCATGTGGTGTTCATGCAAACACATTCAGATTGACTTAGTATCTAAAAGACCAATCAAGAGACCCTGCTAATGCCTTTCACATCCTTGTGTGCTTGCTGCATGACGCAGAATTTGGGGATCACCTCAAGTACTCTACGCTCTACACGGGTCTGGCTCGATAGAGCTCGAGACATGTCCTGCTGTGGATTTCTACTCTAAAACCCTACTGGCATCAAATATATATATATATATATACATACATACAAATTATATACATACATATTCAATAGCCACCAAACGTCCCGGGTTGCCAGCTTCTGTCAGCTTTCTTGATGGATTAAGAGACCGTCAACGGAACCTGTCAGAACAACCACAATTGAGCTCTCAAAACAATCCCAATTTTAACTTCAAACACTCCTGGAAAAAAAACGGTGACACAAATCAAACAATCTCTCAACATCTCTCAGAGCTTTCCTCAACATCTCTCAGAGCTTTCCATTAAAAACAAAATCATCGATAGCAGCGGCTCGCAGCCTCCAAAATCCACCCAGCCCCAGGCAAAAAGAGAACAAAACAACAGCTCTGCAGCCCTGCGGCCCGAGCGAGCAGTTCGTGACCGTTTGCAAACCGTATCAACACATATAGACCACAACCTCTGCCTGGGTTTTCTGAGGAGAGCGCGCTGAGGAACAACAAAATTAAATTGTTTCTTCAAACCTCCTTGAATGGCATTGCACCTAAACAACCCAAAAGGGATATTGACACCCTGGCGGAAGGAAGCAAGGAAGGAAGGAAGAAAGAAAGAAGGAAAGAAACAAAAAAGGAAAGAAGGAAGGAATGAAAGAAAGCAAACAAGCAAGCAAGAAAGAAATAGATAAAGAAAGCGAGCAAGCAAGCAAGAAAGAAGAGGAAGGACAAAAGAAGGAAGATGTTTTTCTTCTTTCTCTCTTTCTATAAGGCTGTTTGACCCTTGTTGGTCTTTCTTTTTCTTTTCTTTCTTGTCTTTCTTTCTTTCTTTTCCAAAAAGGAAATGAGTGGGAAGTCGCTTTTCACACCTAATCCCTCCTCCTAGTTGAAGACAACACTCCGTGAAGGGAAGTCCCCTTCAGCTTCTTCAACGGAGCTGCAGGAACATTCTTGCCACCACGTTTCCCCATGTCAGTCTGCCAGCTGATGGACTCTAAATGTTCGTTCAACGCTTGCAGCGATCAGACACTGCGGCTTGAATCGCCAACGATTTAGACTTGCAGTGACTTGCACAAAATCCAGACAAGAAACCACTTAAGAAAACATGCAAGCAGTCTCCAACAAAGCCATCTGAATCACCGAAACACAGTTCCCTCATGCTCACAAATTTCGGAGCCGGGCGCCCGGCTCTGAATTAGTGACGTTGTAGGGAGCTACGTGTTTAATTTCTTCAAGCTCAGCGCCAACGCTGCAAGAGTTTATATTTACGTATCCTCTACCTGCAACCTCCCAGGATCAGAGCCGGGCGCCCGGCTCTGATATAACCAAAGGTCGGGTGGAGGGTGGTTTGGTTTCAACGTTGACAGGTCCAACTGTTGGGCCTCAACCTTTTGGTTCTTGTTTTTCTTCAAGCTTCCACAGAAAGTGACACGTTTCCTTGGAAACAAAGCTCTCAGCGAACGGTCGGTCTGTGAATTTCAAGCCTCGGTCAACCTTCAGCGGGAGGTACGGTGAACAGAACCCCATTTGTGTGGGCTGACGGTGCGTGCGCTGTCTCTTTAAAATGATGTTGTCTTCAGCTAGGAGGAGGGATTAGGTGTGAAAAGCGACTTCCCACTCATGTCGTTTTTGGAAAAGAAAAAAAGAAAAGAAAAAGAAAGAACTTCCCACGCACAAGAAAAGAAAAGAAAAGAAAATAAAAAGAAAAACAGAAAGACATACAAAAAGAAAGAAAGACCAACAAGGGTCAAAAAGCCTTATAGAAAGAGAGAAAGAAGAACAAAAAAAATCCTTTTGTTTCCTTCCTCTTCTTTCTTGCTTGCTTGCTCGCTTGCTTTCTTTCTTGCTTGCTTGTTTGCTTTCTTTCATTCCTTCCTTCTTTCCTTCTTTGCTTCTTTCCTTCTTTCTTCCTTCCTTGCTTCCTTCCGCCAGGGTGTCAATATCCCTTTTGGGTTGTTTAGGTGCAGTGCCATTCAATTTTGAAGAAACAATTTAATTTTGTTGTTCCTCAGCGCGCTCTCCTCAGAAAACCCAAGTCTGTGGGGGATCGTGAGCGTCACTGCCCAAGACGTTCGACACAGCATCTTTTGACCTTTGACGCTGCCAAGGCTCATAGAAGAAGTCTCTGCGGAAGTTATAGTACGGCAGCCAACCTTGGATTTGGAGTACGGCGATGCTTAATATCCAAGTACCGCAGATTCGCTTGCTGATCTGAATGTGTTTGCCTCAAGTCCCCCGGAGTTCTCCCAACTTCCCAAACCCATCTGACCCACGATGGCACAGAACTATATCCTGAAACCATGAAACCCGCGAATCGAAAGAACACGAAACCTGCCGCTACTTCGACTCACAAAACAAAAGGCCGACCAGTCTCTTCAGGTCAAGTGCTGTGACTCAAAGGAGACTGGTCCCCAGGGTTTCGTGTTTCTTATTTCCCTGGCAAAGCTTCCCCCCAAGCGGGTCTAAGATCCAACATAGTCTCAGCGTCTCAGACGTCTCTCTAGTTCCAACGTATGACAAGTCAGTGTCTTAACTGTTCGATCGATGTTGCGTCTGTGGAAGATAGACTAGATGGAAGAAGGGCACACTTTTTTGTGAAACTTTTGGGGACGCATGTTAGGAATGTATTTATGCCCCCAAACTCACTGGTAACAATAGTGTCAAGTTGCAGGTTCCAACTTTTTTCCAAGTAAACAGAGATCCACGTGATGCCATTCCTAGTCTTAGCACATCTGACCCGCCATGAATCACTGGGATCTATCACCATGCATGACCTTGCCGGCGTACCCCGAACCGAGAACCGAAGCGACGAAGCGCTTCGCGTTCGCGCGGCACCGCGTGAACGCGAAGCGCACCGCGTTCGCCAGGGAACCCAACACCGGGACACGGCCCACCACGGCTTGCTGAACGCCCTTGATGATGTCCTCAAAGGAACGACACGGTCGGACGAGGGAAGACTGGCTTAACCAAAAACAGAACAGAACAGGTCTAAATAACAAACAGCCTGAAGAAAAAATCTATAAAGAATAACAAGGTCTGAAGAACAAACCCCACAAAAAAAAATAGAAACAAGTCTAAAGAACAAGCAAACAAGAGTTACTCCAAGAAAAAAAACGAATGGATCTAAAGAAAAAAGACACACAAACACGGCCCAGCAGAGCTTGCTGAACAACCTTTGTGATGTCCTCTGTTGATGGACCCCCTCCATTGGAGGCTTCTTTTGCGGGCTGGGCCATGTCCTGAGTCGCCGCAGGTCCACGCACATCGTCCACTGTGCTTGGGTTGTGCTCTTAGGTATGTTGTGTTATATATTTATATACATTTATGTTGCTATTTGTTTGTATGATCCTGTGTTGGGCCACCTTTAGCCAGAACAATCCAGAGTGCCCTTCTTGTTGGTACTTGTTGCCTGTAGTGGCACAGCTCTTTACATCTGACAATAATGTGTGAAGCAACGATGATGATTAGGAGTTATGATAGTCATGAAAGAGGGCCAAACATGGAAAACACACAATTGTCCACGTGAACCGCCAGGTCTGCGGAAAAGCGGCATCAACTGTGACACCTTTCACTGCTGATCAACATCATTCTCATCGACGTGCGATCAAGCCCGCACACCATTCAGCTGTTCATCTCCTTTGGCTACTGACCATAGTCTTTCAAAGGCAACGTTTGTCAGGCATGAGGCATGGCTGCAAATAGACACATAAAGCATACATCCCTCCAAGAGGTGTCCATTTATAGTCCCTTAGCTGTGATTCGGAGTGTCCATGAACCAGGTCCTGGTATAATATCTCTCTATATATATATTATATATATATATTAATATTATATACCCTCCCTGAAACAATCATGGAAGCTGAGCAAACCCCCCTTGTAGAGGACAATTGGTCTTCCAGGGGCCTATGTTCCACTTCCATGATTGTTTCAGGGAGTGTAATGTATAAAACAACCAGCACACAAACACACTTGGGCTGTCTTCCATCTCCACGCGGCCGGACGCGGCATCACCAGGTCCGCGATCCGGCTGATCCGCCCTGAGCGATCGGTGGAACGAAGACATGGGAAGACATGGGAAAACAGTCTGCAGTCTGGGGTGACTAGGAAAACAAACTACTCTGGGGTGAATATACGATTAAGAAGACACACCATGACGAACACGGAAAACGAAGTGGAAAATGGCGCCAGTGCCTTGGAAGACTTTCCTTTCCTTTACGAACAAAGGATCTTCCACTTCCATGTTCGTCAGTCAGAGTGTACTAAGAAAACCGTCTGCAGTCTGCAACATGTTTCTGTCCAGTTGTTTAAACATGTTCACAGGAATTGTTGGGCCGCCCGTCCAGGCGAACGATTTTATCTCTCATCTCTCATCTCATCATCTGCTGGAAGTACCAAAAATATCCAAAAAGCAACTATTGGAAGTACAACGGTCTTCTCAGTGCACCATCCAGGGCAGGTGGTTTCGGACATCCTTCCGCATCTTCAGGTCTGCAATCGTTTCCCATTTCCCATTCGTTTCGGACCCCTTTTTGGGGCCAATCCCATGCCCATGTTCCGAGCCCACGAGTTGACGAGAGCAGTTTGGATTGAAAAGAGGGTTCCCCTGGCTCCCCTTGGCTCCCTAACTCTGCCATGGAACGCTCTTCGGGCACCTCGCGCGGGGACAAGGTCCCCTGGGCATTCAGCTCGGTGGGCCTGGGAGGTTCAAGCTGGTGAACAAGACCAGGTGAAGCAGGGAGGGCGGCCAGAGGGAAGGGAAAGGAGCTTGTGGCCACCAGCCCAAGACCTTGCTCAAGCATTCCGAGCAACTCCAGCTAATGCTAGCATTCGTGGACCAGGAATTCTTAAGGTCACTTAGGACTTAGCTGGTGGCGGGCGTTGTGGCTGACAGTACCATCAAACTGACGGTTTAACTTGAACTTAAAAAATGATGCTCCCTTTTGTGATGGAGAATTATTGCATGTTCTTAGCTGCACCTTTCTCAAAGGCAAGACCTTCAACATCTGTAATTTACCTAGCGGACATCAGGAGTACTTGGTCACGGTTGTTTCAGCATGTTTCAACAAACCTGCATAGGTCATGTCAACCCCTGCAACTGTGCACCAAACTAGCACCCGGACTCATATACAGTACACATGTTCATCTTCCCAACCCCAAAACTCACAACCACACCCTTTCTCCCGTAGCCGAGCCACACACTCAAGTTGTTCTTCTTGACCACGGCATTCAACGCCACGTCTGCCATCGGCGGCGCTTCGCCTCCCGCTGCGGCACTCTGCCGCGCGCGGGCGCCACTCCCGGGCCGTCACAGCTGCGGTTGAAGGCGGAAGGAGGCAGAAGTGGTCCGAACCGAAAGAAATAGCCAGTTCTGGTGTCACATTTTGGTGGATCTGTAGGTCGGATGATGATGGTTTTGATGCTTATTCCTCTGGGCGCCTCTACGTTGTTCCACTGTTTGTAGTCTGCGTGACTGTTGGATAAGCTGAATGAGATTTAGAAAAAACATGTCGTCTATGCAAGTCTGCAAGTCTGCCAGTGTTGTTCTTTGCATTATTGTCAAGTGGTGTGTGGGAGGTCTGGCCAACCCTGTGGGGAACTTCACAAGCTGAGAAGTACTGAGTAATGCTGCACACTGTGCTGCACCTCTTGGGAAGCCATGGGAATCCCTCGTCTTTCCCCAAAACGTGTCGCAGATTGGGTAAAACAAACAGATTTGCTGGTGATTTGCGGAGTTCATGAGAAGAACAGAAAGAACTTTCTCGTCCGCGTCTGCATCCTCACCGATCATGTCATTTTGGGCGCCTGGCATCCGCTGATCTTCCACCACCTGTCCTAAACCATCGTGTCCCACCGGTCTGTTCCGGCTTCCACTCATCCAAGTGAGGCTTCCCCCCTTTTTTCCACCCCCAAAAAAAAAGGCTTTTGCAGGTGATCTACTTTTCCTACTGACTGGATTGGGTAGGTCTTATCCGGCAGATCCCTGGTCCCTTTTCTCGGTTCTGCACGGCTCAAACGACGAGAGCTTCGTGCAAGCAGTTTGGGAGCCCGACAACGAAAAGTACACGTGCCTTTGTCCAAGACCAAACGGGCAGTGCAGGTAGTAGGCAACAAAAACCAAACAATACGAAAGGATTGTGGATCACATTCTTGAAGAGTTCTAACCATCACCCTCTCTTTCCAGGCCAAAACCTCGAACTGGTCAGGATGCTGATCGAGGATGCTCTCGTCCACTTGAGAACTCCGTGCCACGGCCACCGCAATGGACTTCCGGGTCCTCGCGACCGGAGTGTCCCGTCGACCCGGTGGCGGAGACGTCCGGTGCCCAGTCCCGGTGGCCGGTGAGACTGAACGAGTGACCGGCACCCGACGATAGACAGGTCTCCGGCTTTCGGATACTTCAGGTGGTGTCAGGTGGTGACCTGTGAAGTCGGGTGCTGGTATATTATACCGTTGTCCCTGAAAGGACCGAGACAAGACGTATCCTAAATGTGGTCCCATGGATTCTCTGGGTTCTTGAGTCGTCATGGTTCACACCCATGCAATATATCCCAACATCCATCCAAATCCTACAGTACAATCCCGGCGCTTTTCCTCTGTCTCAATCGGTGCTTCGCTTGGGGCGGTGATCACTGCGCCTTGACGATGTTCCCGCACAAAGCAACGGCGGTGTCCAAAGGTGAGAACACCCAAAACACCTTGGACTGGGAAGCCTTTGCAGTCCCATTGACGAAAATGACCCTTTTTGTATGTAAGAAGTCACCATTCCATACAGTACATATCCGAATCCAGTCGTACATTCTCAGGTTCGGTCTCCTCCTGGACCCCAAAAAGTCGACCACGTATCATCAAAGTGTCGAACACATCCACCTTTTCGGTACGAAAACGGATCCCTAGAGATGGAGTGTTTTTCGATGTGGATCTTCCAGAGGTTGAATGACCCGAACTAGACTATCCCAGTTGGGTACCCCAGGTGACAGGTCCTAGTTCAGGTCACTTACAGTAACCTCTCTTGGTTCCCAATCATTTCAACCTGTTCCACCCATACGCCCAGGCCGCCCAGACCCGCCCAGACCCGCCTCCGGTTCTCCCGGGGCCGCGGGGCTTCGTCGTCGTGACCGTGACCGTTGTGACCGTCGTGACCGTCAGCGCTGAGGTGGTCGCCTATCCGGGCACACTGAGTTATACGGGGAAGAGATAGTCGAGGGTTATACCCATTTTTTAGGTGACTGAGTGCACTAGTGTATACCCATTTTATACTGAGTCATTATGTACCTCGCACCTATACATATTGGAGATAGTCGAGGTAAGTCACAGTCACTGTCATGGTCGGACCTACAAATCCCAGGAGATTGTTTGAGGATTAACACAGTATCAGTAGACGTAGCGAGATGTCGGCAAAACCACCAGAACGGGATTGTACTGGCTGACGAAACCACACCCAATTCTTGGACTGGCTGAGTGTGAGAGCCCCATGTGGACCATCCCTCAACCTGAATCATGAGGAAACAGAAGATAAGTGATGATCAGTGACTCCAGTTCGCCACATAGGTTGACAGCAGTTTTAACTAAAGTGCACATGTCAGGGACTTGGTAACAAGTCCTGGCAACCATTGGAACATGTGTTGTTCCTTCAGGGCTAGCTGTAGCCAGGCCCGAAACACGATGCCATGCCTAGGACATCATCCACAAGCAATAGCAGCGTGGGCCGATCTTGATCTGTGCTTTATTGTATTTTGTTCAACACGAGTCATTAGCATTTGCTTTCAATGTACCACAGATGAGGATCCCACGGTCAATCAACCGTTACTGTAATCCTAGTCCTAGGCATAATTGTGGGCAAAAAAACACGAGGCAACCGTTCATCGACCAACGCCCTTGTTTGGGTCCTGCAACCTCCATACACTCCCGATCGATCATCGATCCTGTGCCTTCCGGCGCTACCACACTTGCAAAGCCCTCGTCGCCTGGCTGATTTGGATGAGCATGGATGACACGATGTACTCGGCGTGTCAGGCGTAGCAGTAGGGCGACCCGCCGATGTGTTGTGATCAACCATGCAAAACCCTGCCGGTCGTGAGCCCGAGCACGATCCTCACAGCCAACCCAATGGGAACTCATGGCAACCTATCCCAAGGAATCAGAACCGCTGCGTGTTAACAGCGATTTGGTCCCTCTCTCTCTCTCTCTGTGATTCTATATGTCACTCACCACCCAACGGGTAAAACACACATCATCCAAACTTTTGAACCATGAAACCCAGTGCACGTGAGTCATAGGTCGGCTGCTTGCATCGACACCCCCAAAACATAAATCATTAAATGAATCAAACAAAGGCACAACAGTCACATGAACTGGTTTGATCTGCGGAAACAAAGACACAACCAGTCTGTTTTGATCCACCCCCACGGTCAATCTCACGCTGCAACTGCATCCAGCCCCTTGCATCACAAGATCCGAGAAAGAGATTGCAAAAAGAAATAACATTCAAAAAAAGAATGTGCATCTTGCTCGCGCGGTCGGTGGGTTTGTGATGGTTTGTGGCGTGCTTGCTTTCTTGGGTGCTGATTGGTTGCCCCCCCCCCAAGATCTACACTACACCACACACACACGGTATGCACGGCCACCCCTGTGGCCACCCCTGTGGCCATGTGGCATGCTCGCGGCACGACGAACGACGAACGCCTGCGACCACCTTCGGCTCCAAGACCACCTCGTTATTGGAAGGCTCCGCCGACTGCAAATCCTCCGTCCGCTCGGTCCTGGGACAGCATCCCGGCGGCTCCGGGCGGAGCCGCCGGGGGCGATTCCACATCCAGGCGATAGGCCGGGCGTTTGTTAGGCCAGAACAGCAAGGTTGATCTGAGGCAGTACTTCAATCATAGTAGCACACATACATAGAGTTTCACATTGCCTTCAGGATGGGACTGTATCAAACACAAACAGGTGTATGTTTCCATAGCTGCAAGGTACAGGTAGTTTGAAAGGGCATGATTGATCAGCAGGGACTCTTCAACTAGCATGGCATGCACATGCAACGCGAAGGTGTGGAGTTCATGGCCTAGCGTGGTTAAACAGTCTTCTTATGTCTTCTTCAGCTATAGAAACATGTTCAACACATAGGACCAAGGACTTCTTCGGTAATCAATACCAAGCGGTGCGCTGTTTGGTGACGTGAAATCCCTTTTCCATCCTTTTCCCTATTTCGATCCTAGCATAGAATTCCCTTACCAAAAAACATACCCATTTCTCAAGCCAGTGTCTTGAGAACCACAACATGTGGGACAAAACTGGCCAGCCAGGCTCAACTGGGTCATTCCTTCCTCTCTTTTTGCCCTCTTAGGGGTCGTCGCCATGGCATGCGTCTCGTGCTCTTGGAGCACTCGCCAGCTCCAAACCCAACCGAGACGCATAGGCTCTGTGACGTCTTCGTCGCCTTTAGGTGCCATCTTGGCAGGGCCTCAAAAAGTTGGAAAACCACACGAAACCTGAAGGTTTTAGATGGCAACTACGAATATGGTAGGATATACATGGAATTACATGGATGTACTATAGGTATACGGTATACTATATATTATATGGTGTACAAACACCGTCTCCGAGACCGGAGCAGCTCTGGAGCACGAAGCAACAGCCAACAGGCTGCCGACCGGCGCTGCGCTTCGCACGAAGCATGAAGCGCCACACGTTTGCCCCGTGAGGCATCAGGTCGGACCAAGAGTTGCATACACGTCGCAAGAAACAACTCCACACGAGTGAAGTGCAAGACGATATAGATGCTCTTCAGAGGGCCAGGTTGATCATGGGCCGACTGGAACTGGTTGATCATGGTTGATCCAAAGCCGAGAGTCGCGGTCAAGTCACTTTCACCGCTGGTCCAAATCAGGAGTTTCAGTTGACAAAACAAAGTGCACACTGAGCCTGTGGTCGTCAGACCGTCAAAGAAGTCTGGGCAGCTGGCACACCATCTTTAGTTGTCTTCCGAACAGAGTTGCTCTCGAAGCTCGCCTTCCTGTGATCATGAGGGTCTGGTGTGTTTAGAGGTGACAAGTCGATTCCGGAAAAGATTATAAAAGATTAAACTAATCTATATCAATGTCGACCAAAGACGTATGTTCTTCGCCAGCAGAGGAGTCGAACAAATGCAGCTCAGCAGACGGACTCTCACACCGACGGCAGCATCGACCTTGATGTCCTCGTTCTTGATCAGCGAACGACCTCCAACAGATCGTAGCTTCGAGGTACTCT